CGGGAGGCAGGAGGGCTGTGAATTCCAGGGCAGAGAACCCGGGGCAGGGTGCGAGCCAATGTGGTGACAGAGCACGGTGTGAAGGCAGAGGCCAGCCAGACCTGCAGAATCTCGGATCCTCCAGTGACCTCATGACACCCCCCGTCAAAACGAGGCCGGTTTTTAGGAATACGCTTTTACAAAAGCTCTCTTAGCTCCCAGGCCCACCCACCTTGTGCTTTCCGCAGTGTCCAAGCATTACCAAGCAACGCGCGTTCCAGGGGGAGTATTGGCAGCCCCGGGGCTCCCCAGCAGCCCCTCGGCAGATGGGCCAGTCAGTTACTGACAACGAGGCCACACTCCCTGGCTCCCCACAGCCTACCTAAGAATTTCAGCGTTGGGTCCACTTTCTGAGCCCTGTGGTTCATTCGTGAATAGGCAGTTTCTGTGTTTGGTTGGCATGGTTTTTCCTTGGCCTTGCAGCCTCTGCTCTTAGGAGCATGCCCATCCCCCAGGTGCTTCTACCTACAGCAACGGGAATGCAGAGGGCAGGGAGGAGACAGTGAGGCCTAAAGCTGGAAAGTGGCTGGGGAGACTGGCACTGTGGGCTCCCCAGGGAAGGAGTTGGGATGCTCTGCTGCAGGCAGCCTGGGGCTGGGGGGAAGGCTGAACGGTTTTGAGCAGACCTTGACATTTTAGGATGATCGATCCGGTTGGAGGTGTGACTGGACGGATTGCAGTTCTCAGTGGTTTGATTCTCGTCAGGGCGCAAGCATTTATTTAGTGTCTGCTGCATGCGGGACGGGCTGCTGACCAGCCGAGCCCGTCCGTCAAGGCTCTGCGCTTGAGGTGCACACGGGCCGGGTTCTGGACGGCCGCACTGCCTGCTGGGGCATAAGAGATGACCCTGGGGTCTGGGTTAGTGCAGTACAAAATCAGCAGGCAGGTTCATCTAAGGGGAGTTGAGCCAGACAGAGCCCTAGAAGGTATCCACGTCTACCAAAACTTGCCCGAGGCCCCCATGGAGTTAGTCAGGCGGACATGGCGGGGCTTGGGGCTCCTGAGGTTGAGCCCCTGCTCCTTATGGGATTGATTATAGGCTGCAGCTCTGGGCTCACAGAACGTGAAAGAGATGCAGGAGGGAGACTGAATTGTCAGGACAGAACGTCTCCCTGATCCTTTTGTACCATCATTCGTTTGTGTCACAAGCACAGTCAGAATCATTTCTGGTTTTTTAGTTATTTTTGATGGTCCTGTCGTTTGAGTTATAGGACTGTCAATAGACACCTAAGATTTGTTGTTAAAAATCAAAACCAAAACCACCCCTTTTTCAGCTTCCATTTGGCTGCCGTTGTCAGTCCAAGACAAATCCACTTGGTGATGGATGACCAGAAATGGCCACACAGGGTGAGTGGAGAGTCAGACTGCAATCTGGGCCTCTTGGCTTTGTGTCCAGCTGTCTGGTCCTGGGCCCGGGACCAGTGTGTGTCTCCAAGAACCCAGGAAGAGGAGGCCTCAGGCCCTTGGAGTACCTTCTTTGACTTGGCATTGCAAAGCCTGGAACGGTGACCTTGCTCTCAGCTCACTCCTGGGCCAGCTCTCATGCTGATCCCAAGGCTCCCCACAGGAGCACTCTGTCCTTCTCAGCACCCAAGCCAGGGAGAATCCTGGGTCCAGAAGTAACCTAGACATCATCTGGCCCCAACCGCTTATTTAACAGATGAAACCCAACAATAACCAGATGAAGGGTGATGCAATTACAAATTCTAGAAGGATTAGGGAGAGGCCCATGTGGCTAGATTTGAACTGCAGGCATCAGGATGCCCTCCTGTGAAATACAGAGCTGTGTCGGATCAATGGGCTGAGAAGCGGTGACACCCCAATAGCAGTGGGTACGCCTAACACCCAGATTCTAGTTTCTAAATACCATTTTCTGCTAAAGGGAATCAGGGCTGGGGTTTGGAAAGCACCAGAGGAGACGGGAGCATCCTGCTTTGCCAGGAAGTAAGGAAGTATGCCAAACAGGTAGGGATATGTCAAAGGAACACAGGAGCCCCCTTGATGGGACTCCCACTGGCCAAATTGGGGATGACCTGAGTGGCAAAAGACATAATGATAATAATAATTATAACACTTTGAATAAAGAGAGAATCCATGAGTCCATAGGGATACTTAAATGGGGCAGGGAGACCCCCCTTCTGTACAGAAGAATGCCAAGTAACAAATGTAGGAGGAATGGTAGTTTTACAAAAATCACTGCTTTGTAACCATCAGCGTACTAACTGAGCCAGGCGAGGATCAACAATGGCTGCTGAAACCACTGGGTGAAATCATGTAGGAACGCAAGATATTCACCAGTCTCAGAATATCACTCCACAGATTGCTTAGGAATCACAAAGAGTAAAATGCACCTTTCCAAAAGGACGGGTCCGACGGACACTACCTTCAACAAGAGAGCAGACTTGGCCTTCTCAGTAGTGGAATTACCTGACAGCAGGTGCCCTCTGCTGACGTTCAGTTGAGAGGACTCCTCATTGTCTGAGATGTTTGCCAAAAATGCTTACCTTGAATCTGAACACAAGGGGAAACAACTGAGTAAATTCAGATTATGGGGTATTCTATGAGACAGCGGACTTGAAAAATTGCTATGCCAATGTGGAAAAAGACCTAAGAAGCCATGAGGACTCTTCTAGATTAAAGAAAAGCAGGGGGACATGACAACGAATGCAATGTGTGATTCTTGATGGGATCCCGGATCAGGACACAAAATAGTTATAAAAGACACTTCTGGGATAACTGAGACTATGTGAACGTGGACCGTGGATTTGATAATACTGTATTGATTTCATTTCTTGAAAATGATCCATATATAGTGGTCACGTAGGAAAATATTCTTGTTCTGTAGAGATATATGCTGAAGTATTTAGGAGTGAAGTGCCATGATGGCTATAATTTACTTGGAAATGATTCAGCAAAAAATGAAAAATGTGGGGCACCCGGGTGGTGCAGCCGGTTAAGCATCCGACTCTTGGTTTCGGCTCAGGTCATGATCTCATGGGTCGTAGGATCGAGCCCCACGTTGGGCTCTGTGCTCAGAGTGGAGTCTGCTTGGGACTCTCTCTCTCTCTCCCCCTCTCCCTCTAAAATAAATAAATAAATATTTTTTAAAAAATGAAAATTATGTGTGGAAGGAAAGGAGAGAAAGCAAATGTGGCATCGGATTAACAATGGAATCTAGGTGAAGGGCATTTCATGCATATTCACTATCCAAGTTCAGCTCTCCTGCAGGTCTGAAATTTTTCAAAATAAAAAAGTGTTGGGGGAAACAGTAATGACAAGAGAAACAGCAATAGAGTGACTTACTTGGCTTTTTAAAAAAAAATCAGCTGAAGTTAAAACTCCATTCTCTTGATCCCAAATCCAGCAGACCATCACCTGTCCCTCTTCATCCAGGTGAATGGAGAGACAAGACAGAGACTTTCATCCCCTGGGTCAAAGATCAGAGCTTTGAGAGGGTCTTCCCAATCCTGGCAGCCTCGCTAAGGAGATAAAGACCAGACACACATCGCCATCTAATGGCCACATAAGGAAGTGTGTCTGGTTCTGCCAATTTTGAAAGCAAACTTACCCCACGTTACTGGTCATTCCCGCCATTGGCTTGGTTGTTACATTTTCCTGTTTGCCAAGCACTGATTTTTTGTTTCTCTAATTTTCTCGTATGGATTTCCAGTTGCTTTGGAGAAACAAGCCAAAAAGCTGATTTCCTCCCCCCGGAAACTGAATCAAGCCCCAAATCCTTTGATAATCCAGAAAAAAAGAGAAAAACCTTGCTCATGTGTATTTAACCACCACACCCCAGCAAGCGGTTGGCCCTTCTGACTCCCTCTTGTGGAAATAAACAAAGGCCAGCCAAATGAGAAAAGCAAAGACGATTTATTCTGAATTTGCTGTAGCAAGGGAGTCAGCTACCTTCACTTGTGTTTTGGCAGAGAAGTGGGAAAGCTTTCTCGTGGGAGAAAGGGAAAGCCTCAGGTGTGCCCCCACTGGAGGCTATCGATGGGGAAGCTGGAGGCAGCTCACGAGATGGGGGCTGTCCTGTGTGATTGGTTGGGGGAGCACTTTGGCTTTCTCTGGTTGATTTTTTTTTTTTTAAGATTTTATTTATTTGACAGAGAGAGATAGCGAGAGAGGGAACACAAGCAGGGGGAGTGGGATAGGGGGAAGCAGGCTTCCTGCTGAGGAGGGAGCCCGATGCGGGGCTCGATCCCAGGACCCTGGGATTGTGACCCGAGCCGAAGGCAGACGCTTAACGACTGAGCAACCCAGGCGCCCCTCTCTGGTTGATTTAAGTGGGATGTGGGGACAAAGTCTGGGGAGGCTGTCCATGATTAATCAAGTCCTGGCCATTTGGGGCTGTTTGTTACAGAAGTTACTGGATTGATGGTAGCATGGCAATGTGGTTCCCCACAAGTCTGGCAGGCTGGCTCCCCGCGCTGGTTATTGTAGAGAAGGGGGTTAGTTTCCCAGGCAGTTTGACAGGTGATGGGTCAAAGTTCTGTTTTTTTATATGCGGCCTGGCCATTGTATATTCGGTCTTTCTCACTCCGGAAGCGGCCCGTCCACAAAGCACCCAGTGTGGGGCCCGCTGTGTTGCAGGGGAGAGACCCAGGTTTGGTCTTCAGCCTCCTTCTCCAGTCTGGGGAGGCCCCTCCAAGTGTGGCTGGCCTCCTCTATACAGAGCAGGTGCCATTCCTGCTGATTCCGGCCCTGGAAGTGGCAACACTCAGCCCCGCACCCCCGCGGGCTCCCCCTAGGGGCTGCAGAGCGGGGTGGGGTCTTGCAGAGATCACCCGTGAGATACAGACGCAGTGCCAGCCACAGCTGGCCAAGGTCCTGACGCCCTGGGACTCCAGCTGAGATGGACAGACAGACTCACGGTCACATAAATCATTGCTCTATTCCAAGCTGACATTGGCACCCCGGGCTCCCCGAGGGTGCTTTTCCCCTTTCTCCAAACCCAGGCTCTTCGTGTGAAATGGTCCCACCTCAAGTTGCCCTGGGTGGATCTGGACTGGCTCATAGACATCTCCTGCCAGATCACAGAGCTGGACCTTTCTGCCAACTGCCTGGCTTCCCTCCCCTCCGTCATCCCCTGGGGACTCATCAACCTCCGGAAGCTGAACCTCTCCAAGAACCACCTGGGGGAGCTGCCTGGTGTGCAGTCATCAGATGAAATCATCTGCTCCAGGTGGGCACCCGCCCCACGCAGGCCCCTTGGGGTGTGCACAGGGACCTCTGTACTCAGCGCCTGCCCCACCCCCACCCCCACAGTCCTCCTCCTGCTACGTACTCCTTGATCGGAGTTTGTGGTTTTGAAAACCAATTCTCCGTAAAAGGAGAGAAATTCTGCCTGTCCTTACACAGTTCTGAGGAATACGGTGCCCCCCTCCTTCCGAGGGGAACGCAGACAAGTCTGGGGGGGGGAGCGGTTTGTCTGGCCCACCTTACACTGCGCATGGTGGCCATGCAGTCTGCTCGCCCGAGATGTCTGGTGTTGGTCCTGCAGACAGAAATCTGAGAAGGCTGAACGCTTCCTGGCTGGGGGGAAACAGTGAGGCCCAGGGGCACCCATTTTTATTTGACCTCCCAGGGAAAGTGGGAAGGGCCTCAGAGAAAGAGTTGCCCCTAAAGCGCTCCAGCAGCAGGTGGATGGCGTGGGCAGCTCCTGGTCTCCCTTTTCAGGGGGCCTTGGGAAGAGGCCTGAGCCTTCCCCCCGAGGCTGCCTGGGAAGGGCGGGACCTTATCTCCACTGATGGGCAGTGATCCTCACTCTATAAGGATCTATAAGCCGATTTCAAAAGCTAAGGCTTCACCTAGAGTGAAGTAAGAGAGAATGTCCCACAGCACATAGGGGCAGAAGTAAGCCATGGGGAAGAAGGCGCCACACAAACATTTCAAGAACAAGTGTCTTCTGAGTGGGGGTCCTTAGCCAGGGCCAGACTCGGGGGTCCAGCTGGCTCGAAGCACGGCCCTAGGGCCTTCCAGCAGTTTCTGGGACACCAGCTGACTTTGCTATCATACATTGAGAAAGGTTTACATCCCTATGGGTCAGTGAGACCTGGGCCCACCAAAGAGACATGTGATTTTCTTCGTCTACACGGGACATGGTAATAGTTAATGCGATGAATAGAAGTCCTACCGCAATGTTTTCAACGCACGCTCTTCAGCATTGCGTGAGGGGAAAAGAGTATTACGCCCACAGAGAAACATGTAACAGAGATGCTTTTCCTCTTTCTTCTGATGCCTTGACTGCCTCCCTCCCCAACCGCAGGCTCCTCGAGATTGACATTTCCAGCAATAAACTGCCCCACCTCCCACCGGGATTCCTGCACCTCTCAAAACTTCAAAAATTGACAGCTTCCAAAAATTACTTAGAAAAATTGTTTGAAGAAGAAGGTGGTATGTTGTATCATCGACACCCTGACCTAATTTGTCATTTTGTTCTTGACCGCAGTCTTTTTACCAATTTAATATTTTCTTTTTCCCTAGCCACTAACTGGATTGGTTTGCGGAAGCTACAGGAGCTCGATATTTCTGACAATAAATTGACAGAACTCCCTGCACTTTTCCTTCATTGCTTCAAGTCGCTCAATTCTCTGAATGTCTCCAAAAATAACCTGAAGGTGTTTCCAGATGCCTGGGCCTGCCCTTTGGTGAGTATTTTCCTGGAAATCATGAAAGGCCAGTCAACCCGACATCTCACGTGAACCAGAACACTGCTCAGGGCTCTGTCTCGCTTCCTCCCCTTGGTGACCGGGCTGGGTAGCAGCATTTCTGTTCTCCTGTTACCACCGAGCGGTGTCACTCAGCATCCGGCCACTGAGTGTCTCAGGTGACTCACCTGAAAGCCAGCCCCCTCCGCAACTGCCCCGCCCCGGCTCCGGGCTTGAGATTCGTGCCATTAACACCCATAGAACTTTCCACAGTTACAGCTTGCTCATCTGGCATGGGGGAGTTCTGCCCAAAAGGAGGACATGGTTCCTTTCAACTAGCTGTGAAATAAGAACAAAGAAAAGAAGAAGAAATAATCCGCGTCCACCGCACTGCCAATTAAATGGTGTTTTTGTTTCTGGGAAGTTTGCTTGTTAAAAGAGATGGACTAGCATAAAGAATGTTTATGTTTTATTGCTGTTGGTTTCAAACCAAGAAATTCTCCATCGCTAGCGTTCGCGTTCTGGTTTAAACATATGTGTGTGGGAAACCAGCTCGTCTCTAGAGCTTGGTCCGGCGTGATGTTGTTATTTCCAAGGACAATGGGCCAGATGTTCTGGAATGAAGGGATAGGAGCATGAGCCACCTTTGTGTCCCTCAGGAAACCATTCCCGTCCCTTCCTTGGAGCAAGGACAGCAACACGGGACAATGACAGTTTATAGCCTCTTAGCCAAGTTGTATTTATAACAGAGCCTTATTGTCGCGTTCTGATTTTCCACATCAGATTTGGAAATGGTCTTTCTCATAAGCTTAATGCACTTAAGAAGCTAATCGATATCTCCTTCTCTTTCTCGTCAAACTCCTAGAAATGTTGTAAAGCATCCAAAAATGCCCTGGAATCTCTACCAGACAAGATGGCTGTCTTTTGGAAAAACCACCTGAGGGATGTGGATTTCTCAGAAAATGCTCTCAAGGAAGTTCCCCTGGGGCTTTTCCAGCTTGATGTAAGTCTGATCGCCCTCTCTTTCTCATTTTTGGCTTCTGTGAGGGAATCAGTCCACACTGCAGTACAATCTGTAGGCTTCTCCTGAACTTCTGAGATGAAAAAAAAAAAAGTTCAATTGTCAAAAATGTGCGTATTTATGAGCAAAGATTGGGAGGAAGTGAGCAACATGAAAGCACAGCCCAGCAGCCCTCTGTCTGGCCTTCTCTGGCCTCTGTCCTTCCGGGCCCCTGCCCCCCCCCCCCCCCCCCCCCCCCGGCCAAGGCCTACCACTGTGCAAAGCCGAGGGAGCACTGCAGGGTGGGCCTTCCTGCCCGTCTCCCTCCCCAGAGGTGGCAGAACTGGAATTCCTGGGGGTCAGAAGCTTCTTTGGATGTGAACTCAAGAAAGTACCTTTTGCCAGAGCGCCATGTCCCCCTGCCCCAACCCATCCACTTGGGGCTGCTTTATCTTAGCTGGTTTGCCCACCTGTCTCTGTTTTCCCCACTCAAATGGGAGCCCCGTAAGGCAGAGCAGAGCTCATATGCATCTCTTGGCACCCGGGGCCAGCCCCAGCTTGGGGCCTGACCAGTGTTGGCTGAAGGCACCAGGGCAGCCCCGGGCAGGGCCCGGGCCTCGCCACCCAGTCCTGCCAGGCCAGCCACCTGGGCCCCCACAGGGTCTCGTGCCGGGAGAAGTACAGCTTCCCCCCATGTTCAGGGACCCCTAAAGGGCCAGGAAGGTACCTTCTATCTGTGTGTTCTCAGGGAGGAGGGCCACCAAGTCTCAGGCCCCGGGGCCTGCACACTTTGATGGGGGCCCTGGTCGGTGAGGGCGTAGGTCACTGCTCCCCTCAGGGGCACCCCTGGCTTATTAGCTTAGTCCCCTGATCTGAGTCGGTATCCTCATTTCTCCCCGGCAGCATGCCGACTGGGTTCTCTGGTTCCCACCAAGGCCAGAAGCAGCAGATCAGGAGGGAAAGAACTTTGTCCAGGACCTTACCACTCAGCCCTGTGGGAATTCATGTTTGCTCACAGTCTCCCCCTCCGGATGGGGGTCCTGGGAGGCCCTGCACAACCCTGGGGTCCTGGGGCTTGGTGCATGCACGGCCCTACGAGGCATTCGGTGACATGCTGGTTGTGATGGTGGGGGCGGCCTGGACCCTCTTTGACAAGGGAGGAGGCAAGGGCATGGAGTAGGGAGTATAAAGCGGGGCAGCCCGTTTGCACTCCTGAGCCTTGCCCACCGAGGACAGGAGAGTCCCTGTCCCTAGTGAAGGCTTTGAGAAAGGTTACAACATTCCGCCTGTACTCCCACTGAAGTAAAACATGTTACAAGTCCAAGGGCGGAGCTTGTCACCCGCAGTTTCTGGTGGGCAGACAGAGGGCCGATGGCCAGGGGGCCAGCAGGGGGCACCGGGCCAGCAGAGGGGGCCTGGCTGGGGCGGGTGACCCTCCGTGTCCCCGCCACCCTGCCCCTGCACGGGGCATCCCCCGAGGAGGTCACGGGAGGCAGGGGCGCCCTGCCGCCGTGTGATACCTTGGCCTCCAGGACCCTCAGCACCGGCCACTGCTCCCCAGGCAGGCCCGTGAGTCATTGTTGCTCTTCAGAAGGCCCAACGCTGAGACGTACTTGGACTCCTTTCGTTCTGGAATGACTGCCTCCCATTGATCTGGAGGGAAGGACCGTGTTCAGACCGTCCTGTTGGCTGCGTTGGGTGTAATTTCATGAGTTCTAAGAGGCTGTTGAGCCCAACACTATTGGAATCTTGGTGAAGGTGAATCGGTTATCATCATTTTGCTGCATTTTGTCAGGGAGCTGATCCTTCTCCTCAGTCTGTCCTCCCTGTGGTGTTTGATGGTGTCTCTGCATCTCTCTCTCTTTCTCTCCAGGCCCTCATGTTCCTAAGGTTACAGGGAAACCAGCTCATGGCCCTGCCGCCTCAAGAGAAGTGGACCTGCAGACAGCTCAAAACCCTGGATCTTTCCAGAAACCAATTTGGCAAGTAAGCATGGGGGCTCTTTACCCTGGCAAGTTCTAAAACGCATGTGTAACCACAGTCCAGCAGCCCCTGGGGCTGGTGGCTCTGTTGGTTTATTAGGGCTGCAGTAACAAAGCATCACAGGCTGGGGGGCTTACAAAAGACACGTCTATCCCCCCCCCACGCTTCTGGACGGGGTGAGTCTGAGGTTTCTCCCGAGGGCTCTCCCCGGGGCTTGCATAGAACCCCCTCTTCCCTGTGTCTCACATGATCTTCCCTCTGTGCATACCTGTGTCTGAATCTCTTCTTAGAAGGACACCAGTCAGATTGGATTAGAGTCCACTCATATGACCTCATTTTAACTTGTTTACCTCTTTAAAGACCTTACCTCCAATTATAGTCACATTCGGAGGTCCTGGGGGTTAGGACTTCAAAACATAGGGGCGCCTGGGTGGCTCAGTTAGTTAAGCGTCTGCCTTGGGCTCAGGTCACAATCCCAGCATCCTGGGATCGAGCCCCACATCTGGCTCCCTGCTCAGCAGGGAGTCTGCTTCTCCCTCTCCCACTCCCCCAGCTTGTGTGCTCTCTCTCTCTCTGTCAAATAAATAAATAAAAACATCTTTAAAAAAAAAAAAAAAAAAGGACTTCGAAACATAAATTGGAAGGTGGGGGGCACAATTCACCCATAACAGCATCCTCCCATTTCTAAATTTTAAAGGCTCCTGGAGGATCTTCTCACGCCTAACCTGTCATTCTTTTCCAAAGTTTTGGCCAGCCACTCACCAAATGCACATCCATTGAATAAAAATCACTCCCAAAGACTTCTAATAAAAGATGAAAATGTGGGGATGAGCACAGCTGGCCCCTGGGGTCCTGGAGACCAGCCTCCCTATTTCACTTGCTGAAGCCCACCCACTTCTTAGCAGGACTTGATCCCCGAAAGAGAATCCCCCCACCCCAGTGAGAGTGTGTGATATGGAACAGCTGCTGGAATGGGCCATCTTGCCAGGCACAGAAATGCTCACACCTGCCTGAAATGGAAAAGCTCAAGAATCGAAATCACCATTGGTCATGCTGAGCTTAAGCAGTGTGGGTGCTTACCTAGTAGCTGCAGGGGGCCCCAACACCCTGCTGATGGAATGTTCTCCCTTATCTCCGCATGGCTCGGCATTATAGTGTCACAGCAAAAATTGTCATGCTCTCCTCAAAATCTGATTTTTTTTTTTTGGCCCCTGCAGAAATGAAGACGGACTGAAAACAAAGCGTATTTCCTTTTTCACCACCAGAGGGCGCCAGCGTCCTGGGACCGAGACAGGTGTGTGAGTCCCTGGGGGCAGATGAGACCACCGGGCGGGCAGTTCTCTGCTCCACCACCAGGGGACGCCCTTACACGGGGCTTTCCCCGAGAAACCTGGGCGCGCACTGTGCCCCTTGCTCATCAGGCAGGTGTGGCCTGCAGGTATCCCGAAACCCTCTTTCCTGCTTGCCATCCAATGAGACTGGTAGCTATGGTGTGGATGGTTCTGCCGTGAGTGAGCACCGCCCTAGAGATGGTACACCTGTTAGCGCCTTTCTGTAAGGCTTACGGAATGGGGTATGGCTTGGGGTTCCCCACTCTGCAGGTGAGGAAGCGGAGGCTCCCACGGGGTTGCAGTCAGCTCAGGCTCCCATAACAAAGCACCACAGCCTGGGCGGCTGAGAGAATAGAAATGTATGCTCTCACAGTTCTGGAGGCTGGAAGTCTGAGGTCAGGCTCCTTGTGAGGGTCTTCTTGCTGTTTTCTCAGAGAGAGAGAGACGGACAGACAGAGCAAGCTCTCTGGTATCTCTTCTTATAAGGGCACTAATCCCCCCTCATGGGGACCCTACCTTCATGACCTCATCTAAACCTGATTACCTCCCAAAGGCTCCAACTCCAAATATCATCACGTTGGGGGCTAGGGCTTTGACGTATAAGGGGGGGCGGGCACAATTCAGTCCACAGCACAGGGACTGACTGACTGACTTGCCCAGGTCACGTGGCTGCTCGGCGACAGAACCAGGTTTCAGCCCAGCACTGAGGGACCCCAGCCCCGAGGTTGGGAAGGGTAGCACCGTGAGGTCTTCATGGCCACAATATATAGCGTCTGACGAAGACCACATGGGAGCATAGCCCCACTGCCCTGGCCAGCCTGAGATTCTGTTTTCGCCCAAACTCATCAGAAACAGAACTGTTCCTAGAGTGTTCTTACTGGGTCTACAACCAAGCCAGCTCAGCAGACAGCATTCCAGGAAAACAAGTTCTTCTCATTCATCATTTTCCGGGAGGTATGGGGGTAAGGTGTGGACCTGTCCCTTGAGCTCCTCAGCCAGCCCTCTTTTTTAACCTGAAAGCAAAGATTTCTAAAGCCAGCTATGCTCCCACAAATATCCCTCAGGATGCTGTCCCGGAGAACAGGAACCAATATTTAGGTCATTCTCAATGTAACATAACTTTCTTCTTTGGCTCAGTTTATGTTGGCAGGTGCTCTTTTAGTACAGATGGTGTAAGATGGGGACGAGAAATGCCAGAGGCCAGGACACATTTGCAGGAGATGACCTAAATAGTCTGTCCATCTGTTACACTTCTTAATGAACTGGTATGTGTATATACACACATACGTATGCATCAGTCATGTGTGAGTGTGTGTGTTCACATGTGATTAAAAAAGTAACATGTCATCAGTGGAACAGACCTAAGTAAATAATAGGAATTTAGCATATGACAAGGTGGCATTTCAATTTAGTGGGGGAAACATGTTCTGTTGTTTTAATAAATACTGTGTTATACCTGCCTGTCCAGTTGGAAGGGGAAAATCACAACACTGGATTCCCTACCTTACATCTACTACAAAAATTTCCATGTGGATTTCAGATTTTTAAACATTAAAGAAAAAGAAAACTATAAACATTTAAGAGAATATAGGTAAAATTTGTGGATGGAGAAGTCCTTTAAAAACTAGGTGGGAAATCCAGAAGTCACTAGAAAAAGACCAAAACCTTGGGCTTTGTAAAAATTGAAAAGCTTTGTTCAGTAAAAAGCATCATAAACCAAGTCATAATGCAAACAGACTGAGAAGAAATATTTTCAACGCAAATCATTGCGACATAAATTGGCTTAACTCCCTAATATACAAAGGCTGCTTACAAATTAATTTTTTTTTAAAGATTTTATTTATTTATTTGAGACAGAGAGAATGAGAGAGACAGAGAGCACATGAGAGGGGGGAGGGTCAGAGGGAGAAGCAGACTCCCCGCCGAGCAGGGAGCCCGATGCGGGACTCGATCCAGGGACTCCAGGATCATGACCTGAGCCGAAGGCAGTCGCTTAACCAACTGAGCCACCCAGGCGCCCTACAAATTAATTTTTTGAAAAGGATAACTCAGTTGGAAAAAAAAATAGGGGAGGGCAAAGGATATAAACAGTTTGCAGAAAAGGAAGTCCAAATGGCCCAGAAACAAATGAGAAGGCCCCGAACCACACTAATGGGGCTGCACAATGAGGAATTTCATAACTCATCCTTTTTGAAATGCGGGGCCTTTAGGACTTTGGAAATTGAGTCCAGACATGGGGATTTCACTTGGAAGGAAGGACAAACACTTTCTTCTCATTGATGCCAAAACGGTGTAATACCCTTGAAAAGTGTAGCTGGGATAGACCTCGGTCAGGCTTCTATTGCTGTGGGTTGAGCCTCGTCCATTTGAGTGGATTAGAAATGTGTCTCCAGTTTAGAAATGCAGAAGGGCATGAGGAGGTAGGGCCCAACACTCAGTGGGACCAGACACTCCCTGTGGAGCCATCAGAGTACAAGGCCAAAGGCATGCCACAAAAAACACAACAGGAGCGTGTACTAATGTTCTGGAAAACGGTTTTGCTGGTGGCCCGCAGGAGCCCGGCTGGAGAGCGAGGTGAGGAGGCCACACCCCTTGGAAGTTTCCCTGGCAGAGGTGGACGGTGGCTTTGGCACATGACAAAGGCCTCTTGAGTTTGCTAATTTCGTCCCGAATGTTGAGGCCCACCCCTGGATGAAAAGAAGGAGACCCGGTTGAAAATTCTTCCGGGGGGGGGGGGGCGGGGGAGGGGAGGTTATTCTCTGGGGGCTGTTGATCCTCCGGTAAGGAATTATCTATAAAAGCTAACTTGTTTGCAGATGGATAGTAAAATTCCAAGGAGATTTATGTACATTCAAGTAGTCCTATTTGTGCGGCGGCCTCGTCCAAAAATAATTTGGACAGCCGTTTTTACGGTAAAACTCAGACCAGCAGAGTCATAAATAACTCTAGGCATAATTACAGTTCATAAATACCTGGCGCTGTGCTCTCCCAGACCCGCTTCTGCACGGGGCCAGGAGCTCTGTGACAGGTGCTGCTTCTGTTCCCCGTGGTAGTTCCTTATTCCGTCCGCCCGTTACTTAGGCTTCATAAACACCGAGGTACGACTTGAAAATCAGAAGGCACAGAGGCCAGGTGTTCTGAATGTGTTCTCAGGGAAGAAAGTGAGCCTTTCTTTCTTCCCGTGCATGTTCTTTCAGTGTGTGCCGGGGCAGGCTAAAGTGAATCATTCTTTTTCACTGGGGGGGGGAAAAAGTCCTTTTGAGCATTTTCCTCACGTTCAAAGCCGTCTTTAAAAGTCTATTGCACCTTCATTACACTGAAGGAGGTACTGCCCTGAGTCCTCTTCCCATGGGGACCCGCTAGGCTGGTTTTCCGGGCTCCGATTTCGGGATTCCGTTATCGTCTCTCCCAGAACATTCTCTGATCCTAGGTTACCCCATTACCATCGATACCGCGGGCGACACGTGTGGAGAAGAGCCAGAGCAAAGGGAGAAAGTTGTGATCAAGGGCAGGAAAGTCACTTCAGCCCAACAAGAGAATCCTGGCTTCTCTATCTCGCTGGGCTGGCAGAGGGCCAGAGGAGAGGGCTTTGGGGCCATCTTTTATCTTGAGTTCTGGGAGCTGGAGCTGAAAGGGACCCTTGCAGGCGTGGAGTCCTGCCCCTTCCCACCCCCCCACCACTCCCTGCCTTACCAGGGAGGATAAGGCACTTCGAAGATTGTGCTGAAACCTAAGCCTCTGATCCCCATCAGTGCGCGAGTCCAAGCTCCCAACCCCAGTCGCTCTCAGCTCCCACACTCCGGTGCCCGAGGAAGGAACACATACAACATGATCTTAATGGGAATCTCATAATTAGCCTCATTAACTAAGTCGCTTAAATACCAGAGAGTTGGCTGGCTTTCAGAGGGTGGCATCTCAGGCAGCCTGAAAACCGAGCCCATTGTATTATTTGTTAATAGACTGGCTTTCTTTTAATTGAAGAAGGCAGGTCCCCAGTAAACAGAATTTTTGAGCAGTGGCAAATGGTGTGGAATGAATATCCAGCCTCCTAGTAATTCCCTTCCCCAGAGACGACGGTGGAATTTGATGCGTCTGTAGTAATCATTATGTTTGTGTCTAACATACATGTCCGTGCCTGGGCGCCTGTGTGTTCACATGCCTGGAACAGCATGTAACATGCACACATACGTGTGATGTGTGTGCATGTCTATAACACCATGTACCTGTGTGCATGTGTGGCCTAAACACAAAGAGCATCGCAGAGCATCTATGTGCGTTACGGCGCATGTACGTGAAACATACACACATAAATGCACGGGGTGTGTGTTTGCTCACATGCCCGCACACCCACGTTTTCAGTTCACCAATAGCTCTTTTTTTTTTTTTTTAAAGATTTTATTTATTTGACAAAGAGAGACACAGCAAGAGAGGGAACACAAGCAGGGGGAGTGGGAGAGGGAGAAGCAGTCTCCCCGCAGAGCAGGGAGCCCGATGCAGGACTCGATCCCAGGACTCTGGGATCATGACCTGAGCTGAAGGCAGTCGCTTAACCAACTGAGCCACCCAGGTGCCCCCCACCAGTAGCTCTTGAGTATCACTTCATACCCGCACATGTAGACCTGCCCCATGCTTTGCAATAATTGTATATTCTCTCGTTACTCATCAGCCACCTCCCGGTAGGCTGTCTTCTGTTTTGGCTGTTACAAACAGTGTGCCATGGAGTGTCCTGCCCTCACATCCTTGCCACACACGTGCACGGATGTCTGTAGGGCCATCCCCTAGAATTAGAATCCCTCGGTCAGGAAGATGAGCACCTTATTCGGGGCGACTTGCCAAAATGCCCTCTGGAGGTTGCGCCCGCAGGTCCACCCGGCTGACCTGCATGCTGGGATGGTCCAGAATCATCTGCAAACATCCAGTCTGCTTTGCCATTTCTTCGCAGCAGGGGTGCTGGAATTTCCGGCCTTCCTAAGTGAGTCTTTGGAAGTCCTTTGTCTGAATGACAATCACCTGGATGCCGTCCCTCCCTCGGTTTGCCTCCTGAAGAGTTTATCGGAGCTCTACCTGGGAAAGTGAGTACCCAGCCAGCGCAGGGAGGCAGAGTGTCCTCTGTAACCCATCTGAGGACCCAGACACTGCTGGGGAAGGGGGTTGGGGGAAGAAGCCATCTATGTACCGGGAGGCAGCAGGGGGACTTGCAGAACAGGGCTTAGTCAAAGAGGTGGGCGAGGGGAAGGCAGGGGCCGTGAGAACTGCTCAGTCAGTCATCCTTCCATTTACTGAAAACCTGCCACCAGGCGCCGCGGAGGGGGTGCAGCGTGCGAAACAATGAAAATATCAAATAATTCCATTGCGTTGCCTTTTTGAGAAGAGACACTGATAATCTTTATGGCATCGTAATAAATAGAAGAGCTGAGGACGTTGAGGAAGGAAATCTAGTTCTAAGCCACAGGGATCTGCAGAAGACAGAGCTGGCTTTCTAGCGAGAAAGGCTTTGGAGTTATTGTCTAAATAGAACGCTCAAAAGCAAAGCCCGAAATGTTGGGGTTGGGTGCAGGACTCAGAGGCTGCCAGGCTGCGAGGTTGCTGCGTGTGTGGGTGTGGGGGTGTGTGTGCGTGTGTCCTCCCACGGTGTCCTCCCATGGTGTACGTGTGCCCTCAGCAATCCTGGCCTCCGAGAGCTCCCTCCTGAGCTGGGGCAGCTGAGCAATCTCTGGCAGTTGGACATTGAAGACCTGAACATCAGCAACGTGCCCACAGAGATCAAAAAAGAAGGTAGGGCTTCTGAGGCACTCCCCCCTCCCCTGGGGAAAGAGGACTCAAGTCCGGTCATTAAGGACCTGGGCTGGAAGCAGCTTGGGCTCCCGTGGCTGGGTACCACTGTATTGCAATTAACCATACGATAAAACTATCTATGATTCTCTGGGCAGGAAGGATATTGTCTTTAGGCCCTTGACTTTTGGACTTCACTTTTGGGGTATTTATGACCGCAACATCCCCCCCTCCATCCGACCCAATCGCCTTCTCCACTTCCCCCCATTAGAACACACAGAAAGTGTTCCTTCAAGACAGGATTTTTGTTTCCCAAGAGCTGTGAGCATGTTCTCGCCCGCATGTCAGCAGCATCTACCTTCCCCGCTCTGTGATTTTGCGTAGGCCCCAAAGCAATGTTGTCTTACCTGCGCGCTCAGCTGCGGAAAGCAGAGAAGTGCAAGCTGATGAAGATGATCATCGTGGGTCCTCCGCGCCAGGGCAAGTCCACCCTCCTGGAGATCTTACAGACGGGGAGGGCCCCCCAGGTGGTGCACAGCGAGGCCACCATCAGGACCACCAAGTGGGAGCTCCAGAGGCCAGCTGGCTCGAGAGCCAAGGTCAAGGATGGTCGGCGTGCAGAGTCCCCCCAGGGGTGGGAGGGAGCTTCCCCGGGCCCCTTCTTTCTCCTCTCCAGAGAGCCTGGGATTTTCACAGCCTGCTGTCTGAGGCCCAGAATATTTACAAGGGCCTCTCCTGCCAAGGGCAGTGAATAATTTCTTAATAATTTCTTAACATGACCTAGTGGTTGTTCTGTTATAGTTAAGTTGAGGCTTCGGGCCAGTGGTTCTTAATCTTGGCTGTCCATTAGATTTCTCTGATGAACTTCTAAAGACAGCAGTGGCCAGGCCTTTCCACTCCTGGCCCTAAGGATGGCATTTCAAATGGTCCGGAGTAGCTGCCCCCCAGAGCTGAGAGCAAACTGCTACTCTAGGCAGTGAGACACAGCAGCACCTGCCCCTGATGGGGAGGCTGAGAGAGCACTCCTGGAATGAATGCGCTGGCCTCCCTGACACCTGCTTTCACCCCAAGTTCTGAAAAGTCGAGTTCTTGAGCCCCTACTTAAAACGAATCCTTTGGCAACTCTTAATCATCTTGTATTCTGTTCAGTATGAGACGAAGGAAAATGAACATTGTCTTGCCCTGGAATCAGAGGAAAGGGCCTGCAGAAGAGTTGGAGGGATAGGCCCTTAGCTGTTTCTCCCAGCTCAGGGAAGGAACGCTCAGGGAAGAGGCTGCACGATGTCCCCCTACAGCCCCCAGCACAGGGCCAACTAGAGACCGGTTTCCTTGCAAAGTCTTTTACAAAAAATCACTTTCCAAGTTGGGCATTCCAGTTTGGGTCATGAGGCATTTAAGCTGTATATTTTAACAGACTCGGAAACTGGTCCTGTACAGAGTCCCGCCTCAGAGTGAGTTCTGAATGAATCCAGGACAGTCAAATACCTAATACCGGCAGAACCACCACCACCCCAGAACACCCCAGGAGTGAATCTCACTAACTCGTGTCCAGGAGCTCTCTAAAGTCACCCAGAATCTCTGGATTCTCTCCTGGTTTTTTGTTTTGTTTTTTAAAGCAGTTACTCAGTATCACTTTCTTCCAGCTGGTCTTTAGCAAACGATGGTCCGAGCTCTGAGGGGTGAATTGCTGTTTCCATCTTTCTTGTCCTTTGGCCCCCACTTCCTTTTGGCCAGCATTCTAATTTCCCCTCCTTTGTCGAAGGACAACCACCACCTGATCTCTCGAACGCGGAGCCCCATCCCTGCCCGTGTGTCTGGGCCCTCAGCCAGTTTAGAATGGCTGTCCATTTTCACTCCCTTGCAAAAGCAGGTCAGCACGCCTCATCTCGGCAGCCAACGTGCAACATCTCAGAAACAATCCTTTGCTGCAGAAAGCTGCAGTCTTGGCTGCTCGGGCCAGACTCTTAGCTCATAGGACCATGGAGAAACCACCGTTTACACAGCCTTTCCCCGCAAACAGCTAATCTTTTGTGTTGATTCCCACGTCGGGGCGGCTTCCCATCATCCTTGGTGGGCGCCGCCCTCCAGCCTACACAAGTGCGGAGGCCCGTCTCCTGGGCCGCGGCCTCCCACGGATGGAGGTTAAGCCTTGGCATGAGCTCTGGCGTCAGCCCCGGGGCCCCCTCCAGCGGGAGGTCTAACCGTCTGCAGCAGAGGCAGGGCCGTGTCCCCAATGTTCTGCAGACACAGGTGGACGCAAACACCCCAGCCCCCCGGGAGCCCGCCGTCCAGGGCCCGGCCCCCTGCTCTGTGAGCAGTAGATAGAAGCTTCCAGAAGTCCCACCTCCGCACTGCTGGGCCCCTTTCCCTCTCTTGGGTTCCTTGATTCCCGAGACCAACGGCAGGACGGGCCAAGCTCTTCCGCTGCAACCGTGGTCCCTAAATGCCTCCTGTCGTTGCCCCTGTTGCTCAAGCAGGTGGAGTCTGTGGAATTCACCGTCTGGGACATCGGCGGCCCCGCGAGCATGGCCACCGTCAACCAGTGCTTCTTCACAGACAAGGCCCTGTATGTGGTGGTCTGGAACCTGGCGCTGGGGGAGGAGGCTGTGGCCAACCTCCAGTTCTGGCTGCTCAACATCGAGGTGAGGAGACGCCAGCCCTGCAGCTCCCAGGCCTCAGAGCATCACGGGGGATGGGGGGCGCCTCTTCTCTGAAGCATCCCCCTTTACTGAGGAAAAACAAGGGAAACAGTCAGGGAGGAACACTGGGCATCTTGGCGGGCGTCCAGAGGACCCCCGAAGCATAGGTCACCGTGGAGCGCTTAAAACCCTCCTCGGCCAGATGGTTGTCCGAGCTCTCCTAATTTCCTTGTACCTTAAATTTAAGAGCCAGCCCCTCCCCCCACAACTCTTGGGCCCAAGAGGAAGACAGAGCTCCCCTCTCACAAGTAAAGATGATAAGAGGCTGGATGCAGGCCAGGTCACAGGTAGCTGATGCACTGGCTGAAGGGATGGGAAATCCAGCCCTTCTGGGGTGCCTCCCGGAACCCCTCTATGCACAACATGCCCTCGGGGTTTCCTGGGAGCCGCTTCCCAGTCCCTTCTTGGAGTGAAGGGAGCCGATGCTCAGCTGTGGGGCTCTCTCCGGCAGGCCAAGGCCCCAAACTCGGTGGTGCTGGTGGTCGGAACGCACCTGGACTTAATCGAAACCAAATTCCGAGTGGAGAGAATCGCAACATTGCGCGCCTACGTGCTGGCACTCTGCCGCTCGCCCTCTGGGTCCCGGGCCACCGGCTTCCCGGACATCAGCTTCAAACACTTGCAGTGAGTGTCCTGCTCTCTGGTACCTGGTGCCCCGCTGGGGCTGAGGCTCCGGCTACCTCGCTTGTCCGTCTGCCCGGGGACGCTGGGGTCTGCCTGCAGGGGGCTGCTGAGCCAGAGGACTGGCAGGGCAGAGCCTGGACACACCCTCTCCGGGTGTGTGGGTCCCCTCCTCCCCTGTGGCCAGTGCTGAGCATGCACGGCCCCCTTGGGACCAGGAGATGGAAACTCGTGTACTCCCTGTCACATTTGCTGATCTCCGACCAATCACAGACCCCCGGCATGGTCCTGGTCCTCACACTGGGTCTGAGTGGTCCGGGCCAGTGGCAGCAGGACCGGGGCCCTGGGCTTGTTGCTTCTCTCACCTCCTGTCCTGGGACTCACGACAGCCCCGTGGGTTGTGCCCACTTCACAGATGATGGAAGGAGCTCAGCAAGTTAAGTAAGGCTTCTCTCTTAGGAATCAAGCATGGGTTGCTACACTGTGCTGGGGGCTCTTGGGTTCCCCCCCTCTGGGTGGAGTGCCACAGACCTCGGTGCAGGGATCAGCCTGGGGACACTTCTGCCTGCCTCAGAATGCAGGATCTGGCTGATCCTGATGCAGAATTTCAGAAATTCTTCGTGTGCCCTTGAGAACACCCCTGAGGCCTGTAACAGCAGGGGCACTGGCTCTGGGCCAGACCTGGGTCCAACCCGAGTCTGCTCCTTTCCAGCTTGTGTCCTTGGGGGTCACCTTGCACCTTCGGGCCTCACATGCCTCCTCTGTAAAATGGGCGCGCTCAGGACACATACTGCATCGCTCCCCGCACAGAGCTCTGCACCACGTGAGACCTTAATACATGTCTCTGCGTTCACCTTTCACGGGTTCTTTTAACTTGCCAGCATTAGGGACAAAACCTGGGACACAGAGATGCTACAGCGCTCGTCAGAGAGAAGCGGTGTGATGAGTGATCACGTTCTGTTTTGCACTCACAGCGAGCTCTCCTGTAAGAGTCTGGAAGGTCAGGAGGGGCTGCGGCAGCTGATTTTCCACGTCACGTGCAACATGAAGGACGTGGGCAGCACCATCGGCTGTCAGAGACTTGCGGGGAGGCTGGTGCGTACCTCAGGCTCCGGCTGCAACCAGGGGGGCCCGCTCTCTTTCCGCCAGGAGTCCCAACACATATGCCGTGTGCTCAGGCTCAGTGGTCCCCACGTGAGCAGTTTGGGGACCGGGCCGGGGGGAGGCCGGGGATGGGGCGGGGGTGAGAGGAGACGCTCACGTACTCAGGCCTCCGGAGAGTGGGGGGCAGCAGGCAGGGCTGGGTGGGTGGGGTGTGCCTTGCCACCTGTGGGGGCCCAGCCAGCCCACCTGTCCCCCCAGATCCCCAGGAGCTACCTGAGCCTCCAGGAGGCCGTGCTGACCGAGCAGCAGCGCCGCAGCCTGAACGACGACGTGCAGTACCTGACGGACAGGCAGCTGGGGCAGCTGGTGGAGCAGATGGCCAACAACGACATCAAAGACTACGAGGACCTGCAGTCCGGTGAGTGGGCAGCCCGGGAGGGCGGGACGAGGGCCCCCGGGAAGGGGGGGTGAGTCCCATTTCTCACCGCTCTGCGCCTGTCTGCAAATGACCGTCAGAGCACTCTGGGTGGTTGTGATGTGGGGGGGGGTCACAGATTCAATGAGTAGGCACATTTGCAGAGATGGGGTCCGCGAATGCTGGAGATGGGCGGACTGGAGCCCCCTGGCTGGCCGTCAGGTCAGCGCATTGGCAAGAGTTACAGGGTGCTGCTAGGGAACCCGGGACTGGGCAGCAGAGCCGTCAAAAGGGCCCTGGGTGCTGGGAGCATTGCTTGCTTCCTAAGAAGAACATGGGACTAGGTCACCCCAGAGTCCCTGTCACCCTTTGTCTGATGCTGCTTCGTCCTCCCCTTCCCTGGGCAGCCATCAGCTTCCTCATAGAAACCGGTACCCTGCTGCACTTCCCGGACACCAGCCACGGCCTGAGGAACCTCTACTTCCTTGACCCCATTTGGTTGTCCGAATGTCTGCAGAGGATCTTCAACATCAAGGGCTCGCGGTCAGTGGCCAAGAATGGGGTGATCCGGGCAGAGGACCTCAGGATGCTGCTGGTGGGGACGGGCTTCACGCAGCAGACGGAGGAGCAGTATTTCCAGTTCCTGGCCAAGTTTGAGATCGCCCTGCCTGTGGCCAACGACAGGTGAGGCCACGGCCGGGCTGGGCTGCTCACGCTGCATGCAGGAGGAAGGAGGGGAGACCAGGGTCACTGGTGGCTTGCAAGAGCTCCAGGCCCGGGCCGTGGGGATGGCCTGCCTGCCTGGGCTGGCGGCTCCTTCCTGTGCCATGGGTATCTCTTTTCGGGGGGTTCAAAGAAACGCAGTCACTGAAAAAAAAAATGCAGGAAAACATGCAAGAAGGGCATTAGAAATATCTTGGGGGGGTGGGGTTCATGTTTTAGAGGGTGGATGGCTTGGTTATTTGGTAAATGCAAATGGGGTAAGTGACAAGGATGCACATGCTAATTACACGGCCTGGCTTCAGAATGAGGCGGGGGGGGAGGGCAGGGGTTGGGGGGGGGTGCACGTGGGTCCGATGCAGCTGGGCATGTAAGGCCTCTGTGCCCTAATTCCAGTTTCAGCCGCTTCCTGGGTCTGATGCTGATGTTGCCCACGAGGCAGTAGCCAGGACCCCAAATCCGCAGACCTTTTCCACGCACCTACCATAGACTGTGTCACCACCCGCCCCCAGTCCTAGAGCTCTGGGACATGCCCATTGGAGACTTCTGGGAAGCTGGCCCGGACCCTGTATGGCCAGCCCAGAGACTCCACGTGCATAGACTGGGAGCCAGACCTGGGCCACTGTGCCAGAGGCACCACCCAGATTTCTGCTAGATCTTGTAACTATGGGAGAGGGCTTCTTGTCACTCCAGCCCCCTGGGAGCCATGAGTGAGTCCTAAAAGGAGAAACCCCAAAGAGGGATTGAAAGTCCGCATGATCCCTCATACCATGACCTAGGGGTATCCTTGACTTTGGTCCATGGAAAGTGAGGCAGCCTCTGAGTTGACCGCATTGCCAAAATGGGACAATTTTCCAGTTATTTTATTGACAGGGTAGAGGAATGAGGGGTTACCAGCACTCAGTAAAAGCAAGCCGGTTATAATACACACATGTATGACCAGTTGAACCATGAAATCAGCCAGGTCACGGCCGAGTCTTCTGGGAGGCTTATAGTACAGCGGGTGAGACCACAGAGCCAGAATGCCTGAGTATGAATCCCAGCTGCCTTTCTTGTCTCATCTGTACAATGGGAACAATACTGTTACTGACTAGTATTATAATTATTGTGAGGATTAAATCAGATAATACATGTAAAGTATGAAAAGTGTCTCTTGCACTTAAAAGCTCCAAAGATGGGGCACCTGGATGGCTCAGTCGGTTAAGCGTCTGACTCTTGATCGCAGCTCAGGTCATGATGTCAGGGTCTTGAGATCAAGCCCCACTTCGGGCTTCTCGCTCAGCACAGGGTCTGCTTGAGATTCTCTCTCTCCCTCTCCCTCTGCCCATCCCCCTGCTTGTGCACCCACACGTGCACACTTGTTCTCTCTCTCTGAAATAAATCTTAAAAAAAAAAAAAGCCCCAAAGATATCAGGTGTTATCAGCATTATTATTATTACTCTTACTTTGTGTTAAGTACTCAAAGTCATTCACATCTGGTTCCATACGATGTCGCGAATGTCGGGGCATTTTCCATTTCAGCACGGGCATAATGGTTCCTTTGTGCCCTGGGCAAGTTCCATCTCCTTGCACATGAACTTGTATTTGGCTAACAAAGCTGCTCAGCATCTCTGAGCACTCCTACCCCACTGAGACAGTCAAGGTGGTGTAGCATGAGCCAGCTCCTCGGTATAGACGAGGTGCCCCCCACCCCAGGTTTTGTTCAGCAGACCCGGGAAGAATGCACCTCTTTAATCCCCATCTTGCTGACTCTCTGGTCATCCCCCTGGTTCAGCCTTTCGCCACGAGTGATTGCTTTCCAGCAGGTTAGCAGGTGTCAGTGGTCTTGAGAAGAGCTTCTGTTGCCAGTCAGTTTGAATCTCCTCCTTTCCCTGGGGGGCTTCGGAGTGGGCTCTACCCTTGGCAGTATTGAGCACCTGCTGTGTGTGCACCGAGCAGCCTGCTGGGGCACCTGGGCGCAGAGCCCGCTCCCTCCCCTCACTCAGCACCTACAAGGAGAGCGGGAAGCTGCAGGACCTGGCCAGTGTAAGCTCCAAGCTGAGTGTGGTGTGGGCAGAAGAAGCCGAATAAATCACTGCAAGGCACTGACGAGGGCCTCCAGATCGGGGAGGGACACGGAACACATAGTCAACAAGGACTTTGCAGAACATGAAGGAATAAATCAGCCCTGGGTAAAGGCCTGGGGTGGAAGGAGGACCCTCTAGCTGGGGTGATTGAGCAGTTCCTCTTACCCCAGATCTGAAGTGGCTGAAAAGGACCTAAAACGTCACTGGCCTGCCCCCTCGGGGCCTCCCGTCCACCAACCCTTTGGGAGTCCTTTCTCTTCCCATGTCAGGAAGCAGGATCTGCACAAGGTTACACCGTGTGCTGAAGACACAGAGCCGGGATGGACGCTTCTGCGGTATTTTCAGGGGTCTCTTCCAGAACGTTCTAATGACATTTTATTGGAGCTAAACTGATGTATTTTAAAAGCCTCAGGGGAGCTGAAGGCACGGCCTTTGTTCAGAAAAGGGCCCACCGGAGAGCTGCCCTGTGCCTGCCCGGCAGCTCCATGCACACAGAAGATGCTGATTTTCAGGCGCACTCTTGGAGGGGCCTCCTCAGCTTCGGCTGCTCTCAGCTGACTCGGTGACTCAGCACTTTTAGGATGAGCAAGAGCGCCCTCATAAAACATCCCTCCGTGCACAAACAGCCTCATTCTGACTTTTAAGGCGTTGGGGTTGTCTCAACCGTCCAAGAACAATAAATAGCTTCGAAGGCCAGAAACATGACTCCTGGTGTTCGGAACCCTACAGCTGTATTTGCGTTTCCTTCACCATCCAGTTACTTTTAAGCGATTCCCCGGTCACAGCCCCGATCACAGAGAGCGAACCGAGATTTACTAGGTCTGATGTGTTTATGACCACAGACGTTTTCATGTCTTCCTTTAGCATATTCTAGTCGCTGTCCTAGAGGCCTTCCTTGAGAGGTATCTTTGCTGTCCCCATCTTCGTTTCCTCTTGGAGCATTTATTCTCAAACCCAGAAACTACTCTGTCTTTCTAAAAGTAGAATTCCAGGGGCGCCTGGGTGGTTCGGTCAGTTAAATGTCTGCCTTCAGCTCAGGGTCCTGGGATCAAGTCCGGCATCGGGCTCCCTGCTCAGTAGGGAGCCTGCTTCTCCCTCTCCCTCTGCCTGCCACGCTGCCTACTTGTGATCCCGCTCTCTCACTCTGTCAAATAAATAAAATCTTTAAAGAAATAAATAAATACATAAAAGTAGAATTCCAAAGGCCCCGCGGAGGAGGGGGAAGGCACCGGGGGCAGCGGGCCCAGGCCAGGTGGCACTGTTTACCTGTCCCCATTGTTGTGTTCCAGCTACCTTCTGCCACACCTCCTTCCATCCAAACCCGGCCTGGACACTCACGGAATGCGGCACCCCAAGGCCAACACCATTCAGAGAGTGTTTAAGATGAGTTTTGTTCCTGTCGGCTTCTGGCAAAGGTTTATAGCACGGATGCTGATCAGCCTGGCGGAGATGGACCTGCAGGTAGCCGCAGTTTCTGCTTGGGTGTGGGGGGGCGGTGCGCGCTCAGGGCACCTGGAGTCGTGCCCTCACGAGGAGAGGCCCTTTGCTGGAAGATCTTGACCGAAACCCCTTTTCCTGCAGCAAAGCTGCTGCCTTAGGCCCCGGAGGCCGGCATGAGCATAGCTGCCTTCTCTTCTGTCGGCCGGCAGACCCCTTTGCGCCATCCTGTGAATACCAGACCAGCACCTAGCTGGTTCCGAATACGCGTTTTAGGAGCCGTGGTTGTAAAGCAATCCACACCAAAAATCCCCTGGAAGGCTTGTTAGAACAGAAATGGCTGGGCCCCCTCAGAGGTTCCGATGCAGTGGGTTTGGACTGGGACCCAGCATTTTTCGTATCTAACCACTGTCCCCGGTGATGCCACGTGTTTAGAGACCACACATGGAGAACCGTGGCTTTAGAACCGTGGTTTTGCCACTCGGGCGGTGCACCAGACTCCCCTGGGGAGCTTCTAACAGACATGGGCAGAGCCCAGGCTACCTGAATTAGGATTTCTGGGGGCGTTGGGAGTTTTTAGAGCTTGCCAGGTGATTTCACCGTCCAGTCAAGCTCGAGAACCACAGGTGTAGATCCTTAACTTGATCTGGAAGCAATGAAGACCTGACCCCAGGAGTTCCTTTCTTGTGGGTTCACCTGGGGGGTTGAAAGGAGTCCTGGCTGTCAATGTTAATTTCATGCAAAACAGTAACATGAAAATAGTATTTGGCTAGAGTGGTGTTTCTCAAAGTGGGATTCCTGGACCAGCAAAAGCAGCCTTACCTGGGAACTTGTTAGAAATGCAAATCCGTGGGCCCACCCCACACCCACTATTGTCAGAAACTCCAGGATGGAGCCCCGCGCTCTGTTTTTCACAAACCTTCCGGGGGATTCTGACCCACTCTACAATATGAGCACCCCTGGCGTAAACTTGGACTGTTGAATAATTGATGTTAAATTCAGCATGGGTTTATTTTTGCCACATTCTAATGAAAAGGCCCTTATGGAATTAACAACCCCGTGGCTAGATAAAGATATTCTTTGATCTTCCCATTTTACTGAAATGTTTAAAAAAAACAAAACAAAAATGAGAGTCTGAAAATCTAACTGCTGTGGCCCATGCTGGGGTGCGGGGACTTGTTTGCAAGGCTTGGGGGGCCCACTGATGATGGGAAGAGTGGGTACAGGAGCTGGCCGGTCTACAGTTCTGATTCGGTCACTCTGCCCTCCCTCTGAACTGTCCTCCTGCCGCGTTCTAAGTGGGAGGTCACAGAACACAGGGTTGTCATCGTGTGAGGCCTGAGCTCCCAAGTGGGCTCCGTGTGGGGGGTGGGGGGCCCAGCGGGCGTGGAGGCAGGCGCCCTTCCAGGCAGCATCCCTCCCTCCGAATGAGAGGAAAAGTCCCATTGAAATTCAGATGAGGAGAGGGAGTTCAGTTTCAGGAGTAATCAAACGCATACAAATTCAAGCAACAGATGAGATGCTGCCCACTTCGCACCTCTCAAATCAGCAGACTAAAGCCACATTGCCGGCCCCAGGAGCTTCACGTGTTCACATACTGTGGTCAGTGCATATATGGTCTAACTGTTTCAAAAGCGGTTCCTCGGTCCATATCCAGATCCTAAAAAAGTTCGGACCCTTTGACGCAATACTCCTACTGCTAAAAACGTGAGCAAAGGAAATCATTCGAAATCAGAGAACACTTTGTGACTTTTCATGGTTCATTGGCCCATTTGAGGGAGCGAACGATTGGAACAACCTAAATATTCAAAGAAATGAATGATCTGATTGGGAAGTCACTGTATTTCACAAAATATTGAGCTTTAGAAAAATGGCTTTTATATGAGTTTTTAATGGCATAAGAACAGTGAAGTTTTTAAAAGCATCCAAAATGAGAAATTTAGATAATTAGAAATAGAAAATATGGCTTCAGCTGTTTTCCAAATGTATACATAGACAGAAAAAAAAAAAAAATCCTGGAATAAAAGTTACCAAAGTCTCTCTGCTTAGTGTTAAGTTGTTTCGGGGTTTTTTTGTACATTTTTCCGTAATTTCTACATTTTCTAACATGAATTTTTGCTTGTCAAATCAGGGAGGGAAAAGGTTTGAAAAAGAAGAGCCTAGTATCAATCCTTTGGGAAAAATGTGCTCCCAGGGTGTCGTGGGGACCCTTCCAGATGATGCAGTGTTTAATTTGGCAGCAGGATGCGTGGTGCGGGGGAAGGGGGTGGGAAAGACAGGGGTCATTTATCACGACGGGGCCAGGCCAGCCTCTTCATAGCTCTGCCCCGGGGCCAGCGAGGAGGCTAGAATACTTAAGCAGGGTCTTTTCTCTGTCTTTCAGCTTTTTGAAAACAGGAAGAATACTAAAAGCAGACACAGGAAAGTCACCATTTATAGTTTTACAGGAAGCCAGAGAAATCGCTGCAGTACATTCAGAGTGAAAAGAAATCAGACCATCTACTGGCAGGAAGGGCTCCTGGTCACTTTTGATGGGGGCTACCTCAGGTAGGAATACTCGGGAATGCACCTGACGGGGTCACCATGGTGCCGTGGGAACAGCCCGCGTGGCGGCCTCCTCCGGAAGACCGTCCACTTGGGGTCCAGAGTTCTCCCAAGAGTGGCTTATCACGGCAGCCTGCTAGAAATAGGAGACCCTCCCCTGCAAATGTCCAGAGCTCCCTCATCTCCTCCCCGCTCCTCCTCTCCCCTGGCAGGACAGGAGAGATGAGGGAGGGTATGGTGACCACAGCCCAGGACTTGAGGGAAGTGGGCGGCCACTGAGCTCCGGGTGAAAGCCTCTGGCACCTCCGTGGTCACTTAGGTGACACCTACAGGGGCCTTGCTGCCATCTGGCCCTGTCCCGTGTCCTAAATGACGATGGCCCAGGTGACACCATGGATCCTCCACGTGACATAACAAGATCCATAACTTAGCTCCCTTTTCCTGGTTTCTTTCCTTTTTTGAGAAAGAGAAAGACAGCTCAAGAGGTTTAATAAGTGACTTCTAATCGGCTTTAATAAACACAAAAGATTATTTCGTATTTACATTGGATTTTTCAAAATATTCATCAGCTCCATGAGAAGAGAAGGAGAAGGAGAAAGGATCTTCTTTTGAGGGCCTGACTTGAGCGGTTCTTGGTGCCTGGTACTTTCATATAGATGTACCCACTTAAAGCTCACAGCTGCCACCTGGCAAACAAGAATCTTGTAGTTCAGAGAAGGCAAGAACCTTCCCTGAGGTCACACCTAGGGGTCGATCCCTGCCTGAGCATCCCTTACTGCAAAGTCCCCGTGATGTCCACATCACAGGGCTGGGAAGTGGTGGGAGGACAAGGCAGGGTCACACACACAAGTACACAAACACAGGGGTCCCCCTCACTGTCCTGCCTGGGCACAGGGTCCTGGGGTAAGGGTGGGGGTGGGGTGGTCCCTGGGGCTTGGGTCTCAGCCTGGAGGCAAGGAGATCATTCTGGGGCCCTCCAAGGCCAGATCACAGTGGGCTCTTCGTTTCTGGGTTGCAGTGTGGAATCCTCAGATGTGAACTGGAAAAAGAAAAAAAGCGGAGGAATAAAAATCATTTGCCAGTCAGAAATGAGGGACTTCTCTGCCATGGCTTTTATCACAGACCATGTCAACTCCCTGATTGATCAGTGGTTTCCCGGTAAGAGAACGTTCTTGAACCAAGTCTTTGGTCATGTTAACATTTCTTTACGAATCAGGGCGGGGCTCATTATTTTGGGAGCAGAAGTCTCACTGGGATTCAGCGCACAGAAACCAGAGAGGTCCTACTGGCCCTTTGGCAGAATCCCGATCCCTGGGGGCATCCGGCTGTGACCTGGGTTTGGGCGCTACGGGGAAGACATGGGCCCAGACCCCACAGGATGTGTGCAGGCCTTAGCCTCGGGGCTGCCCACAGTGTGTGGGAAGACAGACAAGCCCTGGGTGCCCCACGTGGTCCAGGAAGACCCTCAGTGTGAGCTTCTCACGGGTCTTGTTTACACAGTGAGGACACTGCTGAAATCTGAGGGGACTCCATGGGCGGGGTGGGAAGGCAAGGGAGCCACACCTGTCGAGGACCCCCATTTTCCTTTCCTGCCTGCCCCCACCCCCAAATCCCAGAGGTGACCAACCACCCACATGGCCCTTTGATCAGCTTCTTCATTGACAGTCCGCCCAAAAAAACACCTTTTGGAGTGAAGCTTTTGAGGCCCTCTGTTTTGCTACCAGAGTGGGAACAAACCCGTGGGGTGTTCTGCAGGGAGGAGGCTGTGAGGGGCAGACCAGGCAGCCTCTTCCCCATGAGCCCTCAGCCTCTGAAGGCTGGCGGCTGAGAGAGCAGAGAATGGGTTTGGACTCCAAGACCTGCTTGGCCAGCGCCCTCACCTCCCTGAGCTGGCGTCTCTCCTGCCACATCACTGTGTCCCAGGACAGCGTCAGAGGAGATGCTTAAGGAGCATGGCAGGCCGTGCTCCAGATGCATGGTCTGGACACCGGGGCCTGGGGGCCTTCCAGGGCTGATGGGAAAGCTGACCTATAAGGAAAAACGCTTAGAAAGGGGCCAACAGGGACACTTGGGTGGCTCAGTCAGTTAAGCATCCTACTCTTGGTTTCTGCTTAGGTCATGATCTCGGGGTTCTGGAATAGAGCCCTGTGTGTCAGGCTCCGTGCTCAGCAGGAAGTCTGCTTGGGATTCTCTCTCTCTCTCTCTCTCTCAGATATATAAGTAAATCTTTTTTTAAAAATGAAAGAAAGAAAGGGGCCCAAGAGAAGGCAGTTTGGTGTGTGACTTGTGGCAGTTTGGGTATGTTTGGTCATCCAAGGAAGCCTCTAGACCCATATGAGCCTCCCTGGGCTTTTGTGATGCCCCGCCAACCAGTGAGCCCCATAGCAGGTGCTGGGGAGATTTGACAGCTTGTTGGGGGGGGGGGCATTCGATCATCACCTGAGACAGGGCTGCTCAGGATGGCAACTGGCAAGATGTGTGACACACGGGCCTGCAGATAGCAGATGCGCCCAGAAGGTTCCAGGAGACCCCTCCTACCCTGCACAAGGCAGGCCATCAGCTCACCCTGAGGCGCCTTGGAGGCTACTTCTTTGCACCTCCTTTCAGAGTGTGTGGAAAAGCTGTGTGCTTTTGCCCCGGGGAACACAGGTAAAATGACTAGGTTCTGTCTATCTTATAATTTGTACTCATTTCTCCCCCCTGCCTTGCTCTTCTAGGAGGGATCATAGTAATTGCAAGCCTTATGTTTCTAATTTTAAGCTTAGCTCCTTATTGGTTGTGGTTCAGTTTCTGGAGCATGGCATAGCTCAGACGCAGCCTGCAGCATCCTGCCGGGGCCCAGCTGTGCAGGAGGGATCCCCAACCTCTCAGCCCCTCCTCAGCCAGCCCGCCGAGGGTCTAGACCACCCACCGGCTGTCCAGTGCATCCCTGACCTTTCCCGGTGCTGGGCTTTCAGGATCTTGCTCTCCAAAAAAAGAACCCAAGGATACAGTCATGGTTCAGCCACTCCCTAGGGTCCAGGCAGGAGCACCCAGACCCCCTCCTATGAAAAGCCCACCCCGCCTGGGTGCTGCTCAGGGACCCACCTGCGGCCGCCTTCATGTAAACTATCTCCTGCTCTGTCCCCATTTAGCCCTGACGGCCACAGAGAGCGACGGGACCCCGCTCATGGAGCAGTATGTTCCCTGCCCCGTGTGCGAGACCTCCTGGGCCCAGCACACGGACCCGAATGAGAAAGCAGAGGACGTGCAGTACTTTGACATGGAAGACTGCGTGCTCACAGCCATTGAGCAGGACTTCATTTTCTGCCCCAGACACCCTGACCTCCCCGTGCCTCTCCAGGAGCTGGTTCCCGAGCTGTTCATGACCGACTTCCCAGCCAGGTAGGCCACCGTGCCCCTCCTCTGATTCCTACTTTCCTGCCGGCTCAAGGACGAGAAGGCGGATTCTCCTCGTGTTCGAGAAGGGGGCGCTCCCAGGCCTACAGCCTCATTTTCCTCTCTTGGCAAATGCTGATTCCTACCTGCTGCCCTCAGGGTGGGCATTTGGATCCCCTACATCTGTTCTTGCAGTGAGTCAACCTCTAACCTCAGATAATGACTGGGGAGAGAATGCTGGAGAAATAGAGAATGCTTTGTGGTCCCACCCAACAGGAAATGGTCACAAAATCCGAGTGCTGGGGAAAAGATGGACGGTTCTATAGTCATGGAAACCAGAAGCTATGACTCAGTGTCCCCGGAGATAATTTGACATTGGCAGTTACCAACTGTTTTGGAGTTATGAAGTCCTGTTGTTGTCTTAGTCAAAGGATTGCTATCTCTGGCTTCTTTAAAGAAAAGTAAACTTTTGGGGGGCAGTAGTAAGAGTATTTATATTCTCATTTTTCCAAATTGCCCCCCATCCCAAAGAATCCATGTGGAGTCCTCTGAGATATTGCAGGATTGGGGTCGGTCTATCAAATTAAGAAATTGCTTCCTACATTGGATGGTGTCCCCCCAGAGCCCTTTCTAGTCACCCCAGTTACCTCGCTGGTCAAAATGATAATTAAACACCGCTCTTCTGCAAAATGGGCTCCCTTTATTCCTAGAACTCTAACGTGAGGGCTATCGTTTCTCGGAGACCACGTGCCGAGTTGTGTAGATGCATGAATCAGATTTTTGGGAGAGGGGGGCCCAATGAGGCATCGTCAAATGTTAGGATTTTCATTTATTTGCTGAACCTTGTTGGGTTTTATGCCCCCACTAAATCTGGGCTGTGGCATCTCCTGTATGAAATCGGGAAAGTCAGATTGGTTTGGATCGAATGGCAGGCCATAGCATGGTTCTTCACTGAAGGTACTTGGCCGGTAGTTGAAAAGCCTGACAATGTGGACAGGATTCCCAGCCCAGCAGAGGGTCCCTGGAAACTTGAGCTGGGGCCCAGCTGGGGCCCTAAAGCATCACGCTCCAGGAGTTTCGGTGGGTCAGGGTTGGGGGAGTTACCAAGTATCCAGGGAGCCCTGTCCTGTGGCCCCGAGTTTACGGGAGTCCTAACAGAATGGCCTGAGGGATCCCCAGCATTCCTGCTGCTCCCCGTGCCCATTGGGGAGGCTCCCAAGGGCCCACACTGCCCAAGTGTGGTTTGAGGGGAGGGCACTTGGAGAAGAGCCCGGCTCCTCTGCAGCACCACCAAGGGCTCCAGGGGAGTGCAAAGCATGACGTGGAGCTGGGCAAAGGCTGAGCAGCTGCAGAATCTGTTCCTGGAAGGCATGGAAAATAACTGCCTGGTGGGGTCAGCCTATGGGGCCAGGATGGCTCCAGTGGAGGCACCTCATAGGCAGCTGGTGAGGGACCCAGAGAGACTCAGCAGAGCAGGGGGAGGTCCTGAAGTGGGAGGGCCTCTGGGCTGCCCGCCCCTCCCTCCCTGCCTCCTATCATCCCCTTCCCGCTCCCTCCTTCCCAGGAGTGACTTATGGTCTTTCCAAAAGCCCAAAAGAAATCTCCCCTTTACCTAGGATTAGAACACACAGACCAGGGAGGTCTAAACTCCCTGCCCTTGGGTGGAATCCTAGCCATCGACTATGCACACACGGCTCATGCCGGTCAGAAGGCCTCCGCGGCCGCTTACATCATTCCTCGCGTAATAAAAAGAAATAAGGAAACAACCAACCTAGCAGTAAATAAATGCAGCTTGTCTGATGGATGCTAGCTCTCAAAGCACAGAATCTTTGGGAAGAAAACATCCAAAGGAATTTTCTGTCTATGAGGGCCACTTGGCCTGGCTTCCCCCGGTGCTAGCCACCATGCATGCCTACGAGGCAGTTTGCATTATGAGCCCACTTTACGGAGGAAACCCAGGCTTGTTGAGGCCACATAACCTGCGTACAGCCATGGGTTATCCTGGATCTGTCTGACCCCATGGGTGGCTTTGAACTATGACTCCCTGCAGTGGAAGAAATGACCAAGGGTGTCCTCACATCCACCCACCGCCAACCTCTCCGGGGAGCGGTAAGGGACCGGTTAGGGAGGTCTGACCCGTGTGCTGTGTTTCTGGCAGGCTCTTCCTGGAAAACAGCAAGCTGGAGCACAGCGAGGACGAGAGCAGCGTCCTGGGCCAGGGCGGAAGCGGCACCATCATCTACCGGGCCCGGTACCAAGGCCAGCCTGTGGCGGTGAAACGGTTCCAGATCAAGAAATTCAAGAACTTGGCCAATGCCCCAGCGGGTAAACAGGGCCCCGTGTTGTTTCTTTTCAGACACGTGCTCCCACGGAAGACTTGGGGAGACTGGAAGAGGAGAGGAGGGGGGACGAGGCTAGCGGAGGGCCCTGGGCAGCCGACCTGCCTTGTTCCTGGCAGGATGTGGGATAGGCCTAAACGTCAGGCTGAGCAAAGCTTGGAAATTGTTTGGGGAGATTATTTTCTTGTCTAGATGCGAGCCCCCAAGAGCACGGGCCATCCCTACAATTTCCATCTGCTTCGTGGCCGTCACAGGCCTGGCACATGGTGGGTACACACTCAGACGTCAGGTGGACCCCTTACCCCGTAGGACCCCTCTCAGCCATCGCCACTGAAGGAAGGAAGGTGGCAGTCCAGGTGAACGGATGGGGAAGCCAGCATGCGCCCTCCTTCTCTGCCACCCACATGGAGGAGGAAGGAGACACCCTCTTGCACACCAAGCACAGCTCAGAGCTGCTACCTACCTAGAACAACCCATCAAGGCTCCACAGCCAGCCAGTGCGGGTACTGGGCGGCCCCCTCACTCCCAGCCGGCTGAATATCACACTTCTCACTACCCCCTGGCTTAGCATGTTCATCCTTATGATCATTAAGGTCGTTTACACTCTTGGTAGAAAAATCAGAATCATAGAGCGAGGTAGAGAAAGCAGATCAGAAAGGAAGAGACAAATTGTTACTATACGAAGAGAATGACTTCCTGCACAGAAAAATCCGAGAGAATCTACTGACAAATATGAGAGCCAGTAAAAGTTTCACGGAGGTGCCAGACGTGAGCTCAGCCTCAGAATTCAGCAGCGTTCTCGTGTATGGCAAAGACCCGTTGCTAGAATGCAGCAATTAAACTGTAAGGTGTGGAGGGATAGTGAATAGATACCGTTCAGTTGAGTTCTCATTTAAATCCTAGCGAGGATGTGCGTGCCTGTGTGTGAGAGAGAGAGAGACAGATCTCACTCACTGATTCTAAATGCGTATAAAGTGACAACATCCCAAGAACAGCTGGGACAGTCCTACAGAGGGAGGCAAAGGCAAGAGGCCTGCCCAGCAGATGTCATGACTTACACCCCTGCAGACATGAAGGCAGTGTGCTCTGGGGCTCGGCCAGGCCCGCCGGGGCGCAGACACAGCCGTGCGTGTGGGGGGGAAGCTGGTACATAGCGGCGGTGACATCGTGACTTAGAGCGGAGAGGCGGACCGGTCGCTAATTGAGGCAGACCCTTGGGTCAGACTTTACGCCATAGTCAAAAAATAAATGCATAATGGGTTGAAGAGCCAATGTGAAAAACAAGTTTTATACTCAAAAAACAAATTTGGCTGGCCTACACACAGATCTGGCACAACTGATGCATTTTAACTGCCAAGGGTTTTTTTTTTTTCATGCTGTTTAAACCTCCGTGTCCACAAATCCCTGATTTGAAGACCTGAACGTAGGGGAGGAGTAGATTGGGATGCAAGAGGACAAGCAGGGCCTGGTGGACCCCGCTTGGTGACCTCAGGGCCAGCCACAGACCGGTGGGTGGTGTCCCGCCCCCACTGACTTGGCAGGAGAGGCCCTTTGCGAGGGGGTGGGGGCCTCGGGCCGCCACCTTGCAGGGGTTACAGCGCAGACTGGAAATTGCCCCCTCCTGCCAATAGACCTTGCTCCTCTGACCTGAGATGATGTGTCACAGGCCCGTGGTGGCCCCAGGTTTCTCTCTGGCTGAGGAGAGAGTGCTGGTTCTCTCTTGGCTACTGGCGGGGAGTCGGGCGAGCATGCCCTCAGCATCCCTGTGGCAGCCGGGGCCTGGTCACCTTCCAGTCCTGCCGCTTGAGCCAGGCTCTGGGTGGCACTCAGGGATGCAGAACTGGAATAGGCTTAAATGCGGCTCCCCCGCAGCCCCTCGAGTCGCCGTGGGGCAGCTCTGCGTGTGGCAGGACCCCCACCCGAGTGGCCCTAGAGAGGGTCCCTGGGCAGCATTGATGGCCATGCTCTCCCTGCAGACACCATGCTGAGGCACCTGCGGGCCACGGACGCCATGAAGAACTTCTCGGAGTTCCGGCAGGAGGCCAGCATGCTGCACGCCCTGCAGCACCCCTGCATCGTGTCGCTCATAGGCATCAGCATCCACCCTCTCTGCTTCGCCCTGGAGCTCGCCCCTCTGGGCAGCCTCAACACTGTGCTGTCTGAGAATTCCAAAGGTACCAGTCGCGCCGAGAACATTCCAAAGGGATTGCCCGGGGCCCGGCCCCGCCAGATACAGCCCCGGGAGGCCAGGGAGCCCATGGCCGGCGGCAGAGGCCCCAGGGAAGCGGGATCCCTGGGGCTTCCCTCCTCCTGCCTGGCCTGGCCGACTGGGGCAGAGCACACCTGCCCCACGGCTCCCCTGGCCAACTCCCTATGGGCGAAGAAAGGCACTTCACCAGGTCTACACCCTGAACGGTGGTGTTGGCAAGGCTGGAAGAGCTTATGGTTTAGAGTCAGACGGGACCGCCTTCCAAGTCCTGGTTCTCTGCCATAATCCCGTAAATCAGTACCTCGTTTACTGGCCTGTAAAAGGAGGATGGTGATAGTCCCACTGAGGGGGGCGGTTGAGGGTCTCAAATGAGGCAGCCCAAGGGGGCCTGAGCAGTAGCCTCGTGCCCCCAAGCCCACCAGCCACGTAAAGCTCTCCTTTCCCCGGAACGCACAACGCGTGTCCACCATCGTTCAAACTCTGAGACCCTGGGGTCGGTTTTATCTTATTTTTTATTTTTTTTTAATTTTTATTTTTTTTAAAGATTTTATTTATTTATTTATTTATTTGAGAGAGAGAATGACAGAGAGAGAGAGAGCACATGAGAGGGGGGAGGGTCAGAGAGAGGCAGACTCCCTGCTGAGCAGGGAGCCCGATGCGGGACTCGATCCCGGGACTCCAGGATCATGACCTGAGCCGAAGGCAGTCGCTTAACCAACTGAGCCACCCAGGCACCCTATCTTATTTTTTAATGAAATTTTAAAATAATTTTCCTCAGGAAATGAATAGGGAACTAACTTCCAAAGAGCTGACAGAAGGAGAGGGGTAGCAGGCTCTTGACTCAGGCAGAAGAAACGCATTAAACTCAAATCGTTTCTCCCTCAACGGAAGAGAACTTTTTTTTTAATGAAGCTCTTATCCCCGCAACCCACCGCTTGACAGTAGAGCAAACTTGGCCTGCGATGAATTTTGAATCCTTGCCCTTTTAGTAAAAACACCAACAATTCCAGGCATGAAATACCATGAATGAAGCTATAACAATAAGCATCTCTCTCCTAAATACGGTTTTATTTCAGAAGGTCATTCTCTATCTCCACTGGCATCCAGCATGGGGAATGATGAGAAGTGTCCGTAGAATATAAAGTATCTGGGGAGAGAGAAGGTGAGAAAAGACCGCTGTTGTAATGGTAGTTTGGTATTTTTTTCTTCTTTGCAAAGATTCTTCCTTTATGCCCCTGGGACACATGCTCACCCAAAAAATAGCCTACCAGATTGCCTCCGGCCTGGCCTACCTGCACAAGAAAAACATCATCTTCTGTGACCTGAAGTCGGACAACATTCTCGTCTGGTCTCTTGACGTCAAGGAGCACATCAACATCAAGCTGTCGGACTACGGGATTTCACGGCAGTCATTTCATGAGGGTGCCCTCGGCGTGGAGGGCACCCCTGGCTACCAGGCCCCGGAGATCAGGCCTCGCATCGTGTATGATGAGAAGGTACCCACAGCCCGGCCCACTGTCAGCCCCATGGCACCTGCAGCTTCTGAGCTCTGTTTCCCCGGGCACTCTCCTCTCCCTCTCCCTCTCCCATGCTCGACCAGGGGGGCTCTGGCTTGAACCAGAAATGCACAGGGGTCTGTGCCCACCTCCGAATGTCAAGGTTAACTTCTCCTTAGCTTCAGGAACAGTGAAGTCTCCGAACTCTGAAGTCTCTAACCTTGATTCAGAGGCAAAGTCAAGGTGATACACAGCGGACAATGAGTCCAGGACAGAAATAGGTCTGCATTTGGCTCCCAGCTCTGCCATTTAGACATATAAAATGGGGACAGTGGACCAGCCTCCTGCGGGCTCATGCGGAGCAGTCAGAATAAGGATGGCAAAGCCTCCTGGCCCGTAGGTGCTGTCCCCAGTGGCAAAGATGGCCGAGACAGCATGGCCAAAGCCAGGAAAAGAGAGTGAATTCTTTTTTTTTTTTTTTTTTAAAGATTTTATTTATTTGACACAGAGAGACACAGCGAGAGAGGGAACACAAGCAGGGGGAGTGGGAGAGGGAGAAGCAGGCTCCCCGCAGAGCAGGGAGCCCAATGCGGGACTCGATCCCAGGACTCTGGGATCATGACCTGAGCTGAAGGCAGTCGCTTAACCAACTGAGCCACCCAGGCGCCCAAGAGAGTGAATTCTAACAGGACAAGCGTGGACTCCCCGAGCAGCTGCATGGCCAGCCTCGGCCAAGATGTTAGCTGAATGTTTACCTTCTTCCCTGAAAGCTGTTTAGTAGATACAGGCAGGCAGACAAGCTGGAACCAGCTTCCAGCTAGTGTTAGCCCTGGTTCACCAGTCACCCAGCCCTGAAACTCCCCTGGTCTATAATTTTTCATTATTTGGTGGTTTGCAGATGAGTCATTGCCTAATTGCTTCAAGAATGACCTAAACAGCCTGTAGTCCCCATGCTGTACGTTACGTCCCCATGATATTTTATAACTGGAAGTTTGTACCTTTTGACCACCTTCAAATAAAAAAGGAAAGAGAATGACCCTAGTGGGGGTGCCTGGGTGGCTCAGTCGGTTAACCATCTGACTCTTGGTTGCGGCTCAGGTCATGATCTCAGGGTCACGAGACTGAGCTCCATTGAGTTAGGATTCTCTTTCTCCCTCTCCCGCTGCCCCTACTCCATCCCTCTAAGAAAAAGAATGACCTTAGCATGTATGGGTTAACTCATCACCTGCGGCTATTAACCAAAATAGAAAAGGCAAATCAGAGTAATAAAAATAAGAGCTTCTTAAGTAGCAGGTGATACAGACCAGGCACCTCGAAACTAAGATTATAACAGGAACCTTCACATTGAAAGCTCTCAGGCCTATGTCGGCCATTCTCCTGCTAAAACGTTACCTCTCGGCCCTCATGGAGGCCGAAACTAACTTCTCCTTTTTGGGCCCTTTGATGACATTAAAATTAGAGGAGTCAACATGCTGTGATTTAGGAGACATTCCCCCTTTATGATTTGCATACACTGCCCTTCTAGTGCCAAGCTCATTGAGCTGAGGGTCCATGTTCTCCTGCCTTTTCTTGAGTCTCAAGGATAAGGAGCATGGCATCCTTGGAGACCTTACCCAGTGCCTGATGGCTAGCAAGGTCTCAGTGTGTGTTTATTAGATGGATGGGTGGCTGGCTGGCTGGATGCATGGATGGAAAGAAGGAAGTATGGGAGGATGGATAGGCATATGGACAGAAGAACAGATCATCGGATGGCTGGATGAATGGGTGGACGGGAGTATAGATGGATAAATATGCAAAAGGGTAGGCAAATGGGTGCATGGATGGATAGATGGATGATAGATGAAGAAAAGTAGGGGGGGAAGGGGGAAGGGAGGGAGGAGGGAAGGACTGGAAGGTGGAAGGCTAAAGAGGCAGAATAATGGATGGTCAGATGGTTGGTTGGATGTCTGGACAGGTGGGGAGTGATGGATGCATTCATGGATGGATTGATGACCGTCTCCCTTTGGGCAGGATCCCTGGTCCGATTGTGTCTTCTGCTCCCTCCATCACAAGGCCAGCTTATGAAAGCTGCTGGGCCCAGGCAGGGGACCTGACTTGGCTTGCCTCTTTGCCCAGGTAGACATGTTCTCCTATGGAATGGTGCTCTATGAGTTGCTGTCGGGACAGCGGCCAGCACTGGGCCACCACCAGCTTCAGATTGCCAAGAAGCTGTCCAAGGGCATCCGCCCTGTCCTGGGACAACCAGAGGAGGTGCAGTTCCATCGGCTCCAGGCCCTCATGATGGAGTGCTGGGACACGAAGCCTGAGAAGGTACCTGAGGGCCCGGGGCCTGGGGGCCTGGCACCTCCTGCCCCTGTGGTGGAGGCTCTGGATCTCCAGAGTACATGTGTATGTCTACTTGCCCATCCTCGCTAAGGGTCTAGAACGAAGGGGGCAACCTTTCTCTGCTCTCCTCTTCTAGAAAGAGATAGATAGATATTGCTCCTCATACATCCAGCTTATTTTCTTTGCATGCGTGTTACTCTCGGGAAAAATGAGCTCTCCTTTCCTCCCCAGCCTCTGTGTCACACCATCAGGCAAGCATAGCATCCCAACCCCTTTATAGCAGTAGAGTCCCCATGCGAGAGCAGAGAGAATGTACGCATCTCTGTCTAGAGTAATGGGGAGCAGGTTTGCTTGTGAGAGCAGGAATCATGATATCATTTTAAAGCTTAGCTGTTTGGGGGGAAGAGGCCAGTGGTTTCAAGGTTAAAAGGCATTTATCAAATTAGAGGGTGCGGATTTAATGAACTGGGAGTAAAATAAGGTCTGAGAAAAATTCCCCGTAAGGTTGTACATCCGTGGGCACGGGGGTTGGAACATCAGAGTTTAAGCTAACCTGACAACCTAAGTTCAGGTTGCTAAGGAGAGTGATGACCCAGGCTGCCAGACACTCTGGCCCCTGCAGTTGTCTTGGCCTCTTGCTTTGAGCAGTTCCTAGTCCTTCCTCCCTTGTTCAAGACCATTGGTTTCACGGGCAGGATAGGCATCCGTCTGGTCGTTAATGACTCTTGCTCACAGCTCTGGTGGCCTCTTTCCCTCAGCGACCGCTGGCCCTGTCGGTGGTGAGCCAGATGAAGGACCCGACCTTTGCAACATTCATGTACCAGCTACCCTGCGGGAAGCAGACCACCTTCTTCTCCTCCCAAGGCCAGGAGTACATGGTGGTGTTCTGGGATGGGAAAGAGGAGTCCAGGTAATGTCCCAAGGTTGGCTGTGCCCTGCTAGTATCGGGGGGCGGACTGTGGAATTGGGGAGCAGGCAGGGATGACCATGGTGAGAAATGTCTAGTGGACAGTGGGTTAAAAGCCTGATGGAGTTCGCTCCAGAGAGAAAACTTGAGTCCACACAAATAGATAGGCATGTAGGCATTTGTGGTTAAGAGAAGCAAAGAGAAGGTGGGGTCTGCCAGGGTGCATGGTGTCAACAGAGGGCTTTGCTTTTTGTACTTGTTTTTTTCCTTCTTCATCCCCATCCCCTATTTCACCCATCCCCCCCACCCCCCTCCCCTCTGGCAACGACCAGTTTGTTCTCTGTGTTTATGAGTCTGTTTCTGTTTTATTTTTTCTTTTGTTTTTTAGATTCCACATGTAATTGAAATCATATGGTGTTTGTCTTTCTCTGACTTATTTCACTTAGCATAACACCTCCACGTCCATCCATGTTGTCGCAAAGGCCAAGATGTCATTCTTTTTTATGGCTGAGTAATATTCTACGTGTGTGTGTACCACATCTTTATCCATATGGATGGACACTTAGGTTGCTTCCATATTTGGCTACTGTAAATAAAGTTGCAATAAGCATAGGGGGATGCATATATCTTTTCTTTTTTTTTTTTTTTTAATTTCTTTGAGAGAGAGAGAGCAAGCACGAATGGGGGGTGGGGGGCAGAGGGAGAAGCAGACTCCCGGCTGAGCAGGGAGCCCGATGCCGGGCTCAATCCCGGGACCCCCGGATCATGACCTGAGCCGAAGGCAGACGCTTAACTGACTGAGCTACCCAGGTGCCCTGCGATGCATATATTTTTTCAAATTAGTGTTTTCATTTTCTCCAGGTAAATACCCAAAAGTGGAATTACTGGATCATATGCTATTTCTATTTTTACTTTTTTGAAGAACCTCCGTACTGATTTCCAGAGTGGCAGTGCCAGTTTACACTCCCACCCAGAGTGCACGAGGGTTCCCTTCTCTCCACAGCCCCTCCAACGCTTGTTGGTTCTTGTCTTTTTGATACTAGTCCTTCTGACAGGTGTGAGGTGATATCCCATCGTGGGTTTGATTTGCTTTCCCCTGATGATCAGTGATGTTGAGCATCTTTTTAAGTGTCTGTTGGACATCTGGATGTCTTCTTTGAAAAAATTGTCTTTTGAAGCCCTCCGCTCATTTTTTCTTGGTGCTGAGTTGTATAAGCTCTTTATATATTTTGGATGTTAACCCCATATCAGATTTATCATTTGCAAATATCTCCCATTCAGTAGGTCGCCTTTTCGTTTTGCTGATGGTCTCTTTTGCTGTGCAAAAGCTTTTTAGTTCGATGTAGTCCCAGTTGTTTCATTCTGCTTTTGTTGCCCTTGCCTCAGGAGACAGATCCAAAAAATACTGCTAAGCTTGATGCCCAAGAGTTTACTGCCTCTGTTTTCTTTTAGAAGTTTTATGGTTTCAGGTCTCACCTTTAGGTCTTTGAGTTTATTTTGTGTATGGTGTAAGAAAGTGGTCCAGTTTCATTCTTTTGCATGTGGCTGTCCAGTTTTCCCAATACCACTGATTGAAGAAACTGTCTTTCCGCTCATTGTGTATTCTTGCTTCCTTTGTCATAGATGAATTGACCACATAAGTTTGGGGTTATTTCTGGGCTCTCTATTCTGGTTCTGTTGATCTATGTGTCTGTTTTTGCGCCCATACCCTCCTGTTTTGATTACTGTGGCCTTGTGTATAGTTAAAAATCAGGGACCGTGGTACTTCCAGCTTTAGTCTTCTGTCTCAAGATTTCTTTGGCTTTTCGCAGTCTTTTGTGGCTCCATACAAATTTTAAGATTATTTGTTCTAGTTCTGTGAAAAATGCTGATGCTCTTTGATAGGGATTGTATTGAATCTGTAGACTGCTTTGGGCAGTGTGGACACTGGAACAATATTGATTCAACTAGTCCATATACATGTGTCCATTTATTTGTGTCCTCTTCAGTTTGCTTTATCAATGTCTTAAGTTTTCAGAGTACAGGCTTTTCACCTTCTGGTTTAATTGTATTCCTAGATATTTTATTCTTTTTGGTGCAACTGTAAATGCAATTGTTTTCTTAATTTTTCTTTCTGCTAGTGTGTAGAAACACGACAGGTTCCTGTATATGAATTTTGTACCCTGCAACTTTTCCGAAGTCATTTATTAGTTGTAATAATTCTCCCATCCTGGAAGGACTCTGTTTTAAGATGGGTGCTATTTGCAGCTTGATGGCAGAAGAAGTAAATGATGCCGGGGGTCAGGGAGAGAGGACGGCGACTGGGGTGGAGTTGCTGAGTAGTGAGAGGGGTGGGGGACCCAGAGCCAAGCAGGATTAGGGCCCTTACCTGAGAATTTGTGGGCCTTCCCTTCTAGTCGCATCTTTTTCTCAGGGAAGTGGCAGGAAGGACAAAAGCATGGGAGAGGTTTTGAATATTCGAGAAGATGACGTGTGACATGAGCACTAGCGCATGAGACCAGGGTGGTTGCAGGACAGCACTGAGGCCCGCTGGAGGTTGGAGGTCAGGTGTTGGAAATGAGGCTCATCCACAGGGTTATGTGTCCCCAGCACGGTTTGCTGCCCGCAGATTGCAAGATAGGCAACAGTTGGTTTTAAGCAGAGTTGGGTTTTTGGCAGGAGGGAGAGAAGGGTATGGGTGGTGGAGGTATTTTCAAGAGGGTTATGACAGAGATGGATCATGAAACCTAAGTGGGTCCATAAAGTGGATAAGGAACAATGGAAAGTACCAGAGAATCCTAGATCTTAGCAGAGTGTAAACAAAACCAAAAACCCTGTGTTGAGTTATGATAGTAGGTGGAATGTTCTGGAAAACTCAGAGGTAGAGGTCAGAAAATAGGTCCTTGACACTGAGTAGGTGGGAGGGGTGCAGATATTAGTAAAGCCGGGATCCGATGTGCAACTTAGGGAGAGGGTGGCTGGGGTAAAGTGGGAATAAGATCACTGGGAAACGAACAGGAAGTCACAGAACCAAGATGCCAGGGTATTGGAAAGATAGACTTTGCAATCTCCAAAAACCCATCTGGTGAGATCCTTCAGTCCTGGTCAGAGTATGAGGTCTCTCCCCTAGTGGGACATCTTCAGAGTCACGAGAGTCACGGGGACTGAGTGTTCTGACATAAGACATGGTCTAAGAAACCATGTCCTAAAGAAATATGTATATTTGTGCATGTGTATATTTATTTACTTTTACTAATATTTATATATGTAAATATATATGTTTTCAGTAATTACATTGCCGGGCATTGCACATTGTGATATTTGGCATGCAAAGTATGAAAGATAGGTTAAATTAAAAAAAACCTGTACTCCTGAATTTAAATTTTTGGATTCATGATAGATTTTATCTTTAAGAAAAATAAACTCATGTTTCCTAGTCCTGCCCGTTGAAAAGTCCTAACAATAATGACCGCCTACAAGTGATGACCCCTGGGACCCAGGTGGTGGTCTCTAAGTGCCAGAGGGAACCAGGGCTTATTTGAGAAGTGGATGACTCCAGGTCTGGGACAGGAAGATGGCCAGAATATCTGACACACCAGAATCAAGGATGCCATCAGATACTCGTGAGGGTAGATTAAAGGGTTTTAGGAGTCAACCCAGAGAGGTTCCTACTGGCCAAGGATAAGGCAGTCGGCCATTAGTAAGAAGAATTGCAGTGGGTTGAGACACATCAAATTTTTAAAATTCATGCGTTTCTAATGCTACTTAATAAAAACAAACAAACTGGGGCGCCTGGATGGCTCAGTTAAGTGTCCAACTCTTGATTTTGGCTCAGGTCATGATCTCGGGGTCTTGAGATCAAGCCCTGCGTCGGACTTCACGTTCAGCAGGGAGTCTGCCTGAGACTGTCTCTCTCCATCTCCCTCTGCGCCTCCCCCTGCTCATGCTTTCTAAATAAATAAATAAATAAAATCTTAAAAACAAAAACCCCTCATTGATCACCATTGAAGGCTCCTAGAGAACCAACCCATTATTTTGAAAACTAGTATATACAGAAAGAATCAAGGTTTTATTCTGCCTTTCCTATGTGAACTCTACCCCAAGGTCGCAAAAGAGAGAAAAGGAGGAAGTTTCTCTTTTTAGAATAAATGAAGCTAATAAATGAAGAGGGAATGCCAGAAATAGAATGTCAGCCTTTTGCAATCTCTACTGAAATAGTGGATATAAGGCAGTGATCATTCATGGTCACAAAAGGAGTGAGAATGGGACATTCCCAGTAGAAATCCACACCCCCAATCCCCCAATGAGGAAATGTTCTTACCTTAAAAAAAAAAGCAAACAGAATCTGATCAAGACTCGAGATTGGGAGCAGGGGGATGAGGCAAATGGCACCCCAGGTATGTGGGGACCACACAGGACACCCCCAGAATCCTCAGCATATAACCTACCAGAGAAAAAAGAGAAAGGGGAAGGGGAGAAGCCAGTCAAGAGACTGAGAGACATAAAGACCCGTGGAAGTGTGGGCAAAAGATGTGTGTGACCTGGGTAAATAACTTCAGTCTCCGCCTCAGACAGTGAGGACACTGGATGCCCATGGGGGACGGGGGCGGGGGGGGGGGACAGAAATGCTAAGGGAAGGCCAGTTCCAGGGAGCAAACAGCGGCCCTCATAAACGACAGCTTGTTAGTTCTCAGAGCACTTGTGTTGGGGGATGTGTTTCCAGGACCCCAGCCTACTCTGAAATGAACCCATCTATCTTTGGCCTTGACCTTGTTTACTCAGATATTGAGGGGCTCCCCTATTCCTGGGGTGAGGCACGTATGGCAGTGGGAGGGGTGAGAGGCTTTGGTGGAGGTGTGGCCACTGTGCCCCTTCTTCACACTGGGGGGCAACTTCTTGGACCCTCCAACGTCACAGACAGAAGAGAGCCTTTCTTCCCATTGGGAATGTCCTCTCGTTGCCTGAGGCAGAATCCACCTGTGCCCAGTGCCGTGAACGGTCCTCGATTCTCTCAGAATGTGGCCAAATTCAACCCTGGGTTCGAGGGGGTGGACGAGGCAGCTGATGTCCTCCTCCAAGGCTGCTCAGGCCAAGCCAAGAGAAGGGAGGCAGCCCCTGGCCACCGTGCACTGACCACACGATTGTCGCCGACTCTAGGAACTACACGGTGGTGAACACGGAGAAGGGCCTTATGGAAGTGCAGCGGATGAGCTGTGCGGGAATGAAGCTAAGCTGCCAGCTCAAGGTCCAGAACTCTCTGTGGACAGCCACCGAGGTAACTGCCTCCATGCAGGGCTCTCATCGAGGTGGGCAACACAGGGCGCAGTCCGCGGGGGCGCCAGATTTAGCAAATAGGAACACACCATGCCCAGGTACATGTGATTACCAGATAACCCCAGCCCGCACGTGTGAGACCCCCAGAGCAGTGCCAGTAGCCCTGTGAAGTAGCAGAAGCATGTCCCCAGGGGTAACAACCTGCCTCGTCCCTGGCGGGTGATCGGGACTCAGTCGGGAGAAGTCTCAGGTGCAGGATCCCAGCAGGAGCACCCCATTAGGCTGGTAAAGCCACTGGGTTTCTCATAACACTGCCGGGTCTACCTGGCGAATCCACTCAGCTCTGAAGGCATTTTGCCTTCACGTCAAGGAAGTCAGCGGAAGGCCCAAGGAGCTGTCTTCTGAGAAATCCAGAGAGGCTGCCCCAATGGATGCTCTAAAGCTACGGAGCTGTGGGGGCCGGGGCAGGGGCAGGAGATGGTACCGCCCGCCCAGACACACAGTGGAGAGCAGACAGACATGTCTGTAAGCATGCTCATCCCTGTGTAACCCCCAGTAGTGAAAACTTGGAAACAGTCTGAGCTCCGACAGCAGATTAGGTTGTGGGCACCCCTGGGCGATGGGCAGCACGGAGGCGCTCAAACACGGTTCCCTCACGGGCTCACACACGGTTCCCTCCACCCGCCGTGCATCGTTAGGAGAAAAGTGAGGAAACAGCACAGTCAGGTGGTCCCACTTTGCCAGGAACGCGGAGACACACACACAAACACCCTGGGGAAACGGAGTCTGGGCCCCAAATCCCCAGGTGAAAATTACCCTCTCTAAGTAATGGGGTAGGGGCGATTTTATGTTTCTTCTTTAAATTCTTCTGTCATTTTCAACATCTCTACAAAGCATAGGAATATGCAAACGACGAACCAGAAAGCCCCAACGCATGTTGGTTCCTAAGGCACAAAGGGATTCCCAAGGCAGAAGGGACCCTGGGAGAAAATGGCAGGCATGTTCCAACCTGGGTCTCATGTTGGCTCGTCTTCCTCTGCAGGACCAGAAGATCTACATCTATAACCTCAAGGGCATGTGCCCCTTAAACACACCCCAACGGGCTTTGGACACCCCGGCGGTCGTCACCTGCTTGTTGGCAGTGCCTATTATTAAAAAGGTGAGGTCAGGGGGGAGGGGGGTGCCCAGATGTCTGACTCTCCCTTCCTCTTCTGTTGGGGGGGCCCCCACCCTCGGCTTGGGGGAGGGAGGGGGTACGAGGAATGGGAGCAAAGCCAGGCCCTCTTGGACCGCCAAGCCCGGGTCAGGTCACAGTCAGCCTTAGGGGGACAGGTCATCATTAGAGCCTTTTCAGGAACCTTTTTTTTTTTTTTAAAGATTTTATTTTTTTATTTGAGACAGAGAGAATGAGAGAGACAGAGAGCACATGAGAGGGGACAGGGTCAGAAGACGAAGCAGACTCCCTGCCGAGCAGGGAGCCCGATGCGGGACTCGATCCCGGGACTCCAGGATCATGACCTGAGCCGAAGGCAGTCGCTTAACCAACTGAGCCACCCAGGCGCCCGAGGAACCTTTTTTTAGGAAAAAAAAAAAAAGTCTGAAATCAACCCTGGAGTCGTTTAGGACCATGCCCCACGGGCGAGGCTGGGCAGCTCGGGACCCGGTCCACCCCAGAGGCCGGGAGAACATGACACAAAGCGTTATTTAAGGCCACTGCTGGCCAGAGCCCCTGAGCCAGGGCACCACCACCCGCACGACCAGAGGGAATAAAGCCGGCTCTGTGCGGAGCCTCCCTGTCAGGGTGCTGCCCCGTGGCCGCGACAGCAGGCCCCTGCATTCTTGCATGCGCACGTTCACACCCAGCCGGGCCGTGGGGCTCACCGCCCTGACTGGGGCCCAGAGCCGGGGTTCAGATAGAGACGCTGCCTCTGTTTGCTTTGGCTGCTTTCTTTCCTAAAATTCTGAGGATGGATTTTGATAAATGTTCTTAGGGCTTCTTGACCTTGCTGTTGAGCTAGAAGCTGGTTCGCTCGTGACCTTGGACAGCCTGGCCTCCCCAGTTCCCAAGCAGCTCCAGGTCCCAGGAAGGTGGCTTTCTGCTTCTCACGAGGCCTGGGTCCCCGCTCTGGCAGGGCTTCGGCTTTGTTCTCCTGAACTCCTCCTGCCCCACCTCAGCCCTCGCCAGGCAACCGGGCTTCGAAGCTGCCCTCTATTCCTGGCTCTGCAGAGATGCTCCAGGGAGCATTGTGCGGGTGGTGGTGCCCTGGCTGAGGGGCTCTGGCCAGCAGTGACCTTAAATAACGCTTGGCGTCATGTCCTCCCGGGCCTGGGGTGGGCCCAGCACCCAGCACCGTCCCTGCAACTTTGGCTATAGAAGATGGCATGCTTCACTGCGGGGGCGGAGGGCGACCCCAGGACCCTTGCGCTGCCAGCTAGGCATTTCAGAGTAGGTGTGGTAAGCGGGGGGTGTAGGCACAGGGTCCAAGAAGCGCCTCCGTGAGAGGGTTAAGCTGGAAGCGATTTCTTCAAGCATAGGCTCAGCAGGCACGCATCGTCTGCTGGTGCAGAACGCCGGGTGGAGTCGCAGAGATGGACGAGACTCAGCCCTTCCGTGCGGCAGGCCCGCACCTTGCTGTCACGGAGCCCCTGTCTGGTGGGGGCGGCAGGCAGCGCTGGCAAGCACAGCTGCCCGCCACCCACGACTGCTGTCACGTCAGTAACAAGCAGAGCTCCCGGGAAGGAGGGAACCACGTCCTGCCTCTGAAGGAGGCCGGTGTGACCCGAGGGAGAAGGCGGCCGCCTCCCAATCACACTGCAAGAAGCCAGCCTGAGCAGGGCCCCTCCCCTAGGTGCCGTGGGTCACGCTCTTCCCCAGCACACTGCTCTCCTGCTCACAGCAGGAAGGGTGGGTGGGTGGCTCTTCTGGGCCTAAGTTGCACCTGCTTTGGGTCCTGCTGGCGGCCCCCGCCTCTTTGGGAACATTGCTCCTCTGGGTGAGATGGTGTCGGTGCGGACATGAGTCTTGTGCCCACTCTGCTTCTCTCCTGGCCTGCGTGAGCCTCACAGGCCGTCCTGTCTTTCTCCCCGCAGAATTCCTACCTGGTGCTGGCAGGCCTGGATGACGGGCTTGTGGCGGTGTTTTCCGTGGTGCGGGGTGCCCCGGACCACAGCTGCTCCTACCTGTGCTCACACACGGCCAACAGGTCCAAGTTCAACATCCCAGATGAAGACACGCGGCAGAACCCCTACCCCGTGAAGGCCATGGAGGTGGTCAACAGCGGGTCCGAGGTCTGGTACAGCAACGGGCCAGGCCTGCTGGTCATCGACTGTGCAGCCCTGGAGATCAGCAGGAGGCTGGAGCCCTACTCGGCCCCTTCGGTGGTCACCTCAGTCGTGGGCAGCTCTGAGTGCCGAGGGGAGGAGGTCGTCTGGTGCCTGGATGACAGGGCCAACTCCTTGGTGATGTACCACGCAGCCACCTACCAGCTGTGCGCCCGGTACTTCTGCGGGGACCCCAGCCCGCTCAGAGACATGTTTCCTGTGCACCCACTGGGCCCGGAGTCCCTGGGCAGCCACGCAGCTGGCTCCGAAGAGCCCGAGGGGGACTCCATCGCGGACGTGAGCATCATGTACAGCGAGGAGCTGGGCACGCAGATCCTGACCCACCAGGACTCGCTGACCGACTACTGTTCCATGTCCTCCTACTCCCCCTCCTCTCCCCACCGGACCCCCGCGGCCTCCTCCAGCCTGCCCTGCTCCCCAGCAAGCTCTTCCAGCGTGCCCTTCTCCACCGACTGCGAGGACTCCGACCGGCTGCATGAGCCCGCCGCGGGCTCCGACAGGTCTGAGCACGACCTGACCCCCATGGACGGGGAGGCTTTCAGCCAGCATCTGCAGGCCGTGAGGATCCTAGCCGTGAAAGACGTCATCTGGGTCCCCAGGTACGGTTCCCGCGAGCGGGGCTCACTCCTGTGCTGGAGCCCGGAGGGATCGCTTCGGCAAACCCAAGAAGGGCCGGCGTGAGCGCGCTCACCTGCTTCCCTCCCTCCTACCCCCCCACCCCCCGCCCAGGACCACAAGGCAGAGTCCCCCCACCCCCACCCCCACCCCCACCCCCGGGCAGCTGTGATTCAGTTTCCCCCTGGGAAAGGCCTTGGGGGGTGGGCACCGGCTTCGGAGGCCTCCCAGTAACTCAATCCACTCTCGCAGAGTCGGCAGGCTGGTTGCCTTGCCTCAGTGCCCGCCAGCTCCATGTGCCCTGGGGAGCAGGGCCCTGGACAAACGCTTCCCCTTCTCGGTTTTCGCAGGCGCGGGGGCGACGTTATTGTCATTGGCCTGGAGAAGGAGGCCGGCAGCCAGCGGGGCCGCGTCATCGCCGTCTTAAAAGCCCGGGAGCTGACTCCGCATGGGTAAGCCTGGGGGCGCCTCCTTTAGGCCCCGAGCTGTGGTTTGGGGAATCGAGGCCCCTCCGCCAGGCCACCCGCGCCCCACCCCCAGCACAGTGGCTTCTCGCGCTTCTGTCCTCCACAGATAAATGCCACAGTGGCCATAAGGCAGAGAAGGAACAAGATGGGGTCCTCCAGGCAGCTCCTCGGGGCTCAGCAAATACCAGCGGAACTGGGCATCAGCCACGGGTCATGGCAGGCTGTTTCTGGGGTTCCCAGTGCACCTGTGGACCGAGTGTCCTGCCTGGGGTATATGTCTCCAGGGCCGGAGTCCAGCTGCAATTGAAACGGGGAGCCGGGTGATTCACTGTCCTTCCCACTGAGCAGGAGGGCCCTTCCTGGGGTGCTCCACCTGCCCAGATAGCCCCTAGGGGAGCCACAGACCTAGCATGTACCACCACTCCCCATGCCCAAGCCCGGGCTCCGCCATGGCTCCATACCCACCTGTTGGGGGGTCCTCCCAGGAGGCAGGCCAGACTCCACTGTGCGGGTCATTCTGGGGCAAGGCAGCCTATCCGGATAAGGGGTGCATGGCTGTGGGCATGAGAGGCTGGTGTTCCCAGTATCCCCTGGCAGCCAGCAGGATCCACGCCTCACTTGGTCTACTGAGCCCCATCCTGCAAATCTCCTTTATGGAGAAATCCCATTCGGCCTGTTTGCCCCAGAGTAGGACGACGGTGAAAGGGGAAACACCTATGGCAGGTCCCCTCCCTTGCCCGAAAGCACCGAGTGTTCTCCAAGAGTCACCGGATCCCTGGACCCCTGCTCTGCCAGTGATTCCAGAAACACGATCTGGGTTTTTTGTTTTTGTTTTTTGCTGAGCCCCGGCTGGGTTTGTGGGCTGAAGTAGTTACCAGATCACAGGTCGGGGGCACGGGGGGGGGGGGGGGGGGTGGCGTTCTGGGGAAGAGGCGGGTCTGTAGAGCCTAGGCCTGTGGACCTCAGATCGCCCATCATTAGTGTCCCTGAATTTTTCACTGGTGGTGTTTTTCCTATTCAGCCCCCAAAGGCAGGTTTACCGGGAGCCAGGCACACTCTTTGTAGGGAGAAAGCAGCCCAGGCAGCCAGCTGACGGGAGGGCCGTAGCCCGATCCCACCAGCTTTTGGCCGTGCATCTGAGACATTATTCTCGCGGCAGATAGCTAGTGAGTGTCCGTAGCGTGCAAGGCCCCGAGGAGGCCAGAGGCCCTGCACGTCATAGTGGTTTGCGTGCTGGCCCCGGGGCAAGGCGGGGAGTGCTGGGACAGGGGCTGCCCGGTCCGACCAAGGCCCAGCAGGAAACGTGTGGTGTGTGCACAGATCAGCAAAACAATCCACAGCTTCAAAAAAAACAAATGCCTCCAGTTAGGGCACGTTGGAACGGGTTTCCATCGGACCTACTGCCCTGCATTTCCAAAGCACTGGGAACACGGCGTGGGAGGAAGAACGGGGCCTGAGCTGACGGCAAGGGAGCTGAGTAGGTGCTTCAGATCCACTGGGGGCCGATGACAAGCAGCAGTCAGAGTATAGTGCTTTCTGGACACTTGGGGGTCGGGGTCCCGTGACGGAGGCTATCTGTTCTCGTAGCATCTGTGGCCTTCCATGGAATGAGTGCCTCACAGACGGTCCCCATGCCCATGGAGGGATGCACTAGGCTCTCCTTCAGTTAGGAAGCCTCTGCCCACAGGCAGGACCCCCGGGGGGAAGCAGGTGCATCAGAGCACATCCCTGTTGCCAGGCCAGGATGTCCAGATGCTCCCCCCCAAGCCAGGCTCCCAAGAAGGTGCAGACTGAGGGGCCTGGCCCCGACCAAGTGGGGACCCCCGCAGGTTTTCTCAGACCCCCCCTCCCTCTCTCTGTAGGGTGCTTGTGGATGCAGCCGTGGTGGCAAAGGACACAGTCGTGTGCGGCTTTGAGAACGAAAACACGGAGTGGTGCCTAGCTGTCTGGAGGGGCTGGGGCACTAGGGAGTTTGACGTTTTCTACCAGTCCTACGAGGAGCTGGGCCGAATGGAGGCTTGCATGCGGAAGAGAAGGTGATTCCTGTGGAATGACAGTCGTGGAGACCCGGCTGCCCCGGGCCAATGGCTTGACCCCCCTGCCTGCAGCCTGCCGCCCCCCTGAGGACCCAGAAGATGGAGTGGGTTCGCCCATGAACCACTTGCTGCTAGAAGTGCTGAGAAGTTACCACCCTGGCCGTGGTCTGGGGGGCTCCCCGGTTCTCCAGAGCAGAGTTAGCTGCCTACCTCCATTCTCCCATTGCTGGTTTTACAACCCAAGAGAAGACGGTGGGGCCCAGTTGGGAGCAACTCCCCCTGCCTCCTCCACCCACTTCCAGGAGCAGGGGACGGGGATCCCACTCCACACTGGGTCACACAAAGCGGGGCTGGGTCTTCACGGCACAGTTCCCTCCCTAGGTCTGGGAGGCATTACACTAGAGGCTCTCAGCTGGGGAGCAGTTCGGGGCAGGGGAGGAGGGGGCCGTGACCTCTGCCCCTTCCCCGAGTGGCCTCCAGGCTCTCAGCACATTTCACAAGCCCCTGGGGGCTCCAGTGCCCCAGGGCCCCGCTTGGGCAAGCTGAGATCAGATGTCTCCCGCTCAGGAAAGACTCTGTGTGAGAAGCCCTCAGAAGGACCGTCGGGGAGGAGCGCTGCCCAGTCTGGGGGAATGAATGAGTTCCTTTAAGTGACCCAGCCGGAAAGCCAAGAGCTAACGCAGGGCTCAGAGCACCCACTCAGCCTCTACATTCTTCTCCCGCCGACAAAAGGCAGGGGAAACTCAATCATCAGGACTTAAGAAAGGGCCGTGTGTTTATAGCTTTGTAAAGTAAACTTGGACACAGCTGAAGCACAAGCCCTGTCTGTTTGCACATAATAATCTTGTTTATCACTTTAACAAATTAAGTAATAGCTCAGTGGTTAGGCCCCGGTTGTGAAATCACATCGTATGGGGCTTCTACCGAATTATGCATCAGCATTGACTACACACAGGTACAGCAAAGTCTAAAGAGCAAAATTGTTAATGGGGGGTTTATGGGTCTTACAGCGACCGTTTTTATAAATTACGCACACACACATGCACACGTACCACATGGTTCCCAAGAGGAATCACTTAAGGCTGCTGACCCCAGAACGGCGGTGTGAACATGAGGTCATACTCCAGTTCAAGTTGTTGACCTTTTCCTAAAATTAAGTTATAAAAATCAAACTTAAGATTGGCTGGGATATGCGGGCAAATGTGGTTCCTTTTATCTGAAAATAAACAGATTCTCTTGAGAATGATGTCACAGTCTGTGTCTGTAGAGTGAGTAGTTAGGGACAGGCTCTATCCGACCCAGGCCCACTCGCTGCCGGGGTGGAATGGGCAGCCCCCCCTTGCCCACAGCTGCCCCCATGCAAGCAGCCCCCTAGCAGCTTCCGTGAGCAGAGACAGCTGCTCTGTCAGCCTCAGCCGCCCCACTTCCTTTCGCTGGCCTGGGCATCGAGTCCAACAGGGGCTCCGGGCCCGTGCCTCCTGCCCAAGTCACCGCCACGTCCTGCCCCGGTCCCTCAGCTGGGCCTTGGTGCTCACCGCTCTCCTTCCCTTCCCATCCCAGCACCCCATAGCTGCCCAGTTGCCCCCCAAATGCAAACCGGGTCCTGTCTTTCTCCTGCCCCCATCCCGCCCTCTACAACCTGAAGCCAGACTGCCAGGCTGATGCTCAGGGCCCCCACGGTCCCGTCCTAACCCACATTTCTGACCTGGCCTCCTCCCAGCGTGAGGCCCAAGCTGCTGTGAGGAGCGGCCAGGCCTTTAGCCCACGGCCTCATGGAGCCGGCTTAGGGCAGCTCTTCACAAAAGTTAGAAACCATGCAGGAGGGGCGTCTGGGTGGCTCAGTTGGTTGAGCGACTGCCTTCGGCTCAGGTCATGATCCCAGAGTCCCAGGATCGAGTCCCACGTCAGGCTCCCTGCTCAGCAGGGAGTCTGCTTCTCCCTCTGACCCTCCTCCCTCTCATGCTCTCTGTCTCTCATTCTCTCTCTCACAAATAAATAAAATCTTAAAAAAAAAAAAAAAAAAGAAAGAAACCATGCAGGAAATGGTTTCACTACATAAAAATTAGAAACTTAAATGGAAAAACTACCACAAAGTCAAAAACTGGGAAAAAAATATTGGTGACAAATTAGAGAAAAAACAGCTAATTTATCTTATATACAGAGAGTTCGTGCCTATCGATAAGAAAGAGAAAACACAAAAGGAAAACAGGTAGAGGACATAAATAGCACTCAACCTCACCCAACAGTTAGGAAGTAGTCATGAGGACAGCAACAAAATGTCATTTATTATCCTCATGTTGGCACTCCTGCGGAGACCTGAAGGCACCACGTTGGAAGATCCACATGTGCAAAGGCCCTGTGGCGGGAATGAGCTGCTGTGCTAGAAGGACAGATGAAGAGCTGGTGGGACTGGAGCGTTTGGAAGAAGGGGGAGCTCAGAGGCCCGCTAGGCATGGCTTTGGGCTTTGTAGGCATGGATCTCCATCAAAGCTACTGGTAGTTTTAAGCAGGGATGTTTGATGACCTAATTGTCTTTAAAAACCACTTCACTGAGTGCAAAGTGGGCTAAAGGGGAGTTAACCGACAGCTGGGCCACCCCTTAGAGTTAGCAGGCCCACTTAAGCATTTGATCCTGAACTTCCCGTGAAAGGGCCCAATGCAGCAGAACAAGAATGTCATTGTGGCATCGCCTATAAGTGGCCCCAAACAGGAAACAACCTAAACCTCTAGCAGGAGGAAAGTCAAAAATGCCTGAACCTCCAACCCTGCCATACTCTGCAGCCGGTCAGAGAAGGGGGCGGTGCTAACGGTCCTGCTCCGACATGATCTCCGGGGTATAATAAATGCATTGTTTTCCTAAAAAGCAACTCACAGCGTGGTGTGTCTATTTGAGTGAAAAATGTTGTACAGCTCCGTGGGCACGCACAGGGGAAATATCCCAAAGGATGCCCAAGAGTCTGGTAGACCTTGGTTGCCTCTGGGAAGGAGAATTGAGGGCTGGCGTAGAGTGGAAGGTCCTTAGGTTTTGCTTTATACTTTCCTTGCTGCACTATTTGAATTATATATAAGCCTTTCCATGATGGTAAGCCAGGCTGGGAGGGGACTTCTCCCCTGGACCCCAGGAAGGACACACCTTGGCCTTGGTGTGCAGAGGCCATGGGAAGTGCCCATGGAGGGTATCAGACCCAGGGGCGGGGCCAATAATCTGTCACATCCGTCTGACCTCATGGCATGGCTCAAGCAGAAACCCCACCCCCACCCCTGGCTGTCTTTGGGATGTAGGCAGAGAATCCCAGGCTGAGGAAGACAGGTGGGAGGGACTGGGGACAGTTGACAAAGGCCAATGGACTCTGACCCTGGTCTGCCCTTGCCCTGGTATTGTGAACACGTGCAGCCCAGCTGCCGGGTCAACACCCCCCGCCCCCAGCAGATGAACACCCAGCCTCCTCCCACCTCCCGCCACCACCCTGCACCAGGGAAAGCAGCAGCTTTTCTTACGACCGGTCACCGGCTGGTCACCATCTTCCAGGGCCACCGATTACTCGGAGTCTCTGCAATGCCCCTACCTGGAGGTGCACTAGACCCCACCTCCCTGCACAGCCCCTCAGACAATGGGAATGGGTCCTGCTTTCTCTGCTGTTCCTCTTGCAGAAAGTATCTGCTGAACCTCCAAGGAGGCATGGGGACACAAAATCCCCCCACTAAGGCTACAGAAAAACAGCATCGTGAACCCCCTCTAGATGCCGGCAGACTGATGCCCCGGAAGAAGCCACAGCTTCTGGCTTGTCAGGGCCTGGGGCCTCAAACCCTCTGCCTCCCTGAGTGCCTAGTGATATTTCCCATCCTGGGCAGAATGGAGCAGCCTTGAAGGGAATAGGGGCGGGGAGGTGGGGGCAGTTAAGTAAAATAGCCCTTAGAGAACCACTGGCAGAAACTGCTCAGTAACAGGCCCTGCTTTTGTTGGTGCATCATTTCTCAGCCTCCCTTACAGGGAGGGGTGGGCCTGGGATGGAGCTCAGCCAGGGATGATGTGGAGATGGCTGAGGACAGCTTCAGGGAAGCACCATCAAAGGGCTGACTCAGTGGGAGCCCCTTCAGCCCTGCCCCTGCCTCCCCGGTCCTCAACAGAGCATGAAGGCAGGGCCTTCTAGGGATGCCAGGAAGACCTTGGAACAGTGATGGAGAGGCAGCCCTCCATGCCAGCCCTGGATGCTGACCTCCAGTCTCCTCATTGCCTCATGGACCAGGAAATCACTTCCTTGTTTAAACCGGTATTTTCCAGCTCTCCACTACTAGCAGCCCAGTGCGATTCCTAAATGTTCGGGTGTATCTTCCACTAGCACAGCCCGAGCCCCTAGGCAAACAAGTGATGCTCTCAGGCTGTCCTTAACAAGCTCAGGCAGAGGGACCTGCGCAATGATGAACTGGAACATTCTGTGGCCAGACCCACCCCAAGAGTGGACATGGTCTCTAGATTCTTTTCCCTGGAACAACCACAATTACAAAGAGGTCAGGATTGCATCCTAGTCACCCAAAGGCCAGCTTTGATGTCCTGCAAGTTTAAACCTTCAACTCTGAGCAAGCTACCCCACCTCTGTGGCCCTGATGTCTTCTTTGTGAAATGGCATGACAACTCTCACCCTGTCAGGATCAGGAGAGACAGTGTATGTGATAGACCCAGCCCAGCCCCCTCCCCAGGGCCAGGACGCCCTCCCTGCCCCCCAGTCATGACTACCCTCTCCTCTGTCATTACAATCTAGGAAGGCTCAGAAACACTTGGAAGAACTATGGCTATGAGTAAGAAGGGGGTTCATGTGAAACAAGGTGTAGGGGTTGGGTCAGTTTTATAGTGAGTACTCAGTTTTGTAACAGATGTAGCATTTTGTGTATGTTTTATCTGATTCTTAGGGTGTTTAAAGCACTGAAGGTAAACTAATATTTTAGACTTTGATTACAGCAGTCAGCAAGAGAAGAAGAAAGGAAAAAAGAAACTACAAAATAGGCAGAAGACAATTAATGAAATGGCAATAGTAAGTCCTTATCCAGAATTACCTTAAATATAAATAGATTAAATACTCTAATCAAAAGACAATGAATGACTGAATGGATAAAAAACAAGACCCAACTAGGTGCTGTCCACAAGAGACTTTACTTCCAACTTTAAGGACACACATAGACTAAAAGTGAAGGGATGGAAAATGATAGTCCATGCAAATGGAAACCCAAAGAGAGTAGAGGTAGCTAAACTTAGATAAAATAGGCTTTATTTCAAAAACTGTAACAAGAAAAAAAAAAAAACTGTAACAAGAAACAAAGAAAGTCATTATATAATGATAAAGAGGTCAAATCATTAAAAGGGTATAACAATTACAAAAATATATGCACCCAATATCAGAGCACCAAAATAAATAAATATTAACATTTCTAAAAGGAGAAATAGATAACTATACACTAATAGTAGGGGATTTCAATACCCCATTTTCAACAATGGACAGATCACCCAGACAGAAAGTCATTAAAGAAACACTGGACTTGAACTACACTTTAGAGTAAATGAACCTAACAGACATATACAGAATATTTCATCCAACAGGAGCAGAATACACATTCTTCTCAAGTGCATACAGAACATTCTCCATGATAGATCATATGTTAGGTCACAAAATAAGTCATAACAAATTTAAGAAGATTGAAATCATATCAGTATATTTTCGGACCACAGTGGTAAGAAGCTAACATTAATATCAGGAAGAAAACTGGAAAAATCACAAATATGTGGAAATTAAGTAACACACACCTGAACAACCATTGGATCAAAAAAGAAACTGAAAGGGAAATCAAAGAATATCTTGAAACAAACAAAAATGGAAACACTATATACCAAAACTTATGGGATGCAGCAAAAGCAATTCTAAGGGGGAAGTTTACAGAGATTATGCCTACAATAAGAAGAGGGAAAAAATTTTAAATAAGCAATGTAACTTTACACCTCAACTAGAAAAAGAATAAACTAAAAAATAAAGTTAGCATAAAGAAGGAAATAACAAAGATCAGAACAGAAATAAAAGAAACCCAAGACTAGAAAAACAGTAGAATACATCAATGAAAATGAACTTGCTTTTTGAAAAAAGAAAATTGGCAAGTGTTTAGCTAAACTAAGAAAAAAATACTCAAATACATAAAATTAGAAACAAAAGGGGTACAGATTACAACTGATACCACAGAAATACAAAGGATCATGAGAGCCTACAGTGAACAATTATACCACAACAAATAGGATAACCTTGATGAAATGGATAAATCCCTAGAAACATACAATCTACCAAGATTGAATCATAAAGAAATAGAAAATCTGAACAGATCAATAATGGGTAGAGATTGAATCAGTAATCAAAAATCTCCCAACAAAGAAAAGTCATTCACTAGTGAGTTCTACCAAACATTTAAAGAAGAATTAATACCAATCCTTATCAAATTGTTCTAAAACATTCAGGAGAAGAGAGCATTTGTAACTCATTTTATGAAGCCAGCATGACCCTTATGAAGCCAGACAAATACACTACAAGAAAATAACATTACAGATCAATATCTCTGGTGAACACAGCTGCAAAAATCCCCAACAAAACACAACAACCCTAATTTAAAAACACATTAAAGGGATCATACACCACAATTAAGTGGGATTTATCCCTGGGATACAAGTATGTTTCAACATATGCAATATCGATAGATCACATATAAGAGAATAAAGGACAACCATCATATGGTCATCTCAATAGAAGCATTTGACAAAATTGAGCATTCTTTCATGATAAAACGATATTCTCAGCAAATCTGATATATAAGGAATGTACCTCAACATAATAAAGATCATATATAATAAGCTAACATCATACTCAGTAGTGAAAAGCTAAAAACTTTTTCTCAAAGACCACAAACAAAGATCCCACTCTCACCACTTCTATTCAACAAAGTACTGGAAATCCTACCCAAAACAGTTAGGCAAGAAAAATAAATAAAGAGATCCAAATAGAAAAGGAAGAAGTAAAATTGTCTTTACAGATAACATGATGTTATATATAGAAAACCCTAAAGACTCCACATATAAACAAAAACTGTTAAAGCTAACAAATTCAGTAAGATTTTAGGATACAGAATCAACATGCAAATATCAGCTGTGTTTCTATACACTGAAAATGAACTCCCCCAAGAAGGAATTAAGAAAACAATCTTATTTACAATAACATTAAAAAAATACTTTAGGAATAAATTTAAGCAAAGAGGTGAAATATCTGTACACTGAAAACTATAAACACAGGTGAAAGAAATTGAAGAAGACATGAATAAAAGGAAAGATATCCCATGTTCGTAGATTGGAAGAATTAATATTGTAAATATTATATAAAGTGATCTATATAATCAATGCAACCCTCATCAAAATTCAAATGGCATTTTTCATAGAAATAGAAAAAAAAAATCCTAAATTTTTGTGGAACCAGAAAAGATCCCAAATAACCAAAGCACTCTTGAGCAAGAAGAACAAAGCTGCAGTCATCTTCCTGATACCAAACTTCATGATATTACGAAGCTATAACAATCGAAACAGTATGGTACTGGCATAACAACAGACAGATGAACCAATGGGATACAATCAAAATCCTAGAAATAAGCCCACCCATATATGGTCTACTAGTCTTCAAAAAAGGCACCAAGAATACACAAAGGGGAAAATAACATCCCTTCAATCAATAGTGTTGGGAAAATTGAATATCCACACACAAAGAATGAAATTGGACCTTTGTCTTACACAATACCCAAAAATCAATTCAACATGGATTTAGACTTAAATATTAGACCTGAAACAATGAAACTCCTAGAAGAAAACAAAAGGGAAAAGCTCTTTGACATTGGTGTTGGCA